AGCTTCTCAACATGCTATAAGAAAGCTTATAGAAGAACATGATTTGTGTGATATATGGAGAACTCTATATAAAGAACAAAGGCAGTACACATGGGCGCACACAAGAGAAAATTATATTTCTATGGCTAGATTGGATAGGTTCTATTGTTTTAAGTACCAGTTTAATGTTATTAAGAAATGTGAGATTTTGCCTTGTGGGTTTTCTGATCACAGTCTAGTAATCTGTAGTGTTTTCATCACTAATGCGGCAGTGGCTCAGTGGTTCATGTGGGTTGTCTACAAACCGGAAGGTTGGTGGTTCAATCCCCGGTTCCACCTGACCAAGTGTCGAGGTGTCCATGAGCAAGACACCTAACCCCAGCTGCTCCCGACGAGCTGGATGGCGCCTTGCATGGCTGCCGTCGCCCGTCGGTGTATGAATGAGTGAGTGAATGGGTGAATGTGAGGCAAATTGTAAAGCGCTTTGGTGGCCATTGGGTCTGTGAAAGCGCTATATAAATGCAGTCCATTTACCATTTAATATAAAGCCTAAGAGTGCCTATTGGCACTTTAATACTTCTTTGCTACAAGACAATTTTTTTAAGGATGTCTTTATTTATTTTTGGAAACAGTTCAGTTCCAGGAAAAAAGATTTTTCATCCCTACAACAATGGTTGGATCATGGGAAAAAAGAAATACAGCAACTGTGTCGTCAGTACACTCTCAATGTATCCAAGGACATTTCCCAATCAATGAAAACCTTAGAGATTGAAATAGTGGAACTTCAGAATCTGGTAGAGTCCACAGGAAATCGAGGACATATTGAGCTCCTCAAAGTTAAAAGAAGGACTCTGGATAACCTGTTAGGCATCAGAGCACAGGGAGCTTTGATCCGCTCACGTTTTCAGAGTGCGGTAGAGATGGATGGCCCAACTAAATTCTTCTTCGGTTTGGAGAAAAAGCATGGTCAAAGCAGAATTATACATTCTTTATAGTCATTGGAGGGTATAGAAGTGGTGGAGCCTAAGGAAATCAGAAAAAGAGCTGTATTATTTTATTCTGAGCTTTATAAAAGTGAACATACAGAGGAAGATGAGCTGGCCAGCTCTTTTTATATGGGTTTGCCTAAAGTTCCAGATGAGACCAATTCTTGGCTTGAGAGGCCGCTTTCAGCAGCTGAACTGCATGTTGCTCTGCGGAGCATGGATTGCGGTAAGGCCCCGGGTATTGATGGTCTACCTGTCGAGTTTTATAAAACGTTTTGGTCAGTGTTGGGGGGTGATTTGCTGGCTGTGCTCAATGATAGTCTGGCCCGAGGTTTGCTACCTTTGAGCTGCAGGAGGGCAGTCATTACCCTGTTACCCAAAAAAGGTGATTTAAAAGAAATAAAGAACTGGCGCCCTGTTTCACTTTTATGCTCTGATTTAAAGCTCTTTTCTAAAGCTTTGGCATTAGATTGAGGGAGGTAGTTGGGCAGGTTATTCATCGTGATCAAACTTACTGTGTGCCTAACAGGTCTATTTTTGATAATGTTTATTTAATTCGGGATATTTTGGACATCTCTAAGCTATTGGACATAGACACTGGTCTCATTTCTCTAGATCAGGAAAAGGCATTTGACCGGGTTGAGCACAGCTATCTCTGGCGCACGCTAGAGGAGTTCGGGTTCAGCTCTGGTTTTATTGCCATGATTAGGGTTTTGTACCGGGATGTTGAGAGTGTACTGAAAGTGAATGGTGGTCTTAGTGCTCCTTTTAAAATTAGCAGAGGTATTAGACAAGGCTGTGCACTTGTCTGGGAATGTTGGGAATGTTGTATGCTCTTGCCATTGAACCTTTATTGGTTAAGATCAGAGAAAGCATTGAAGGTTGGACCATACCTTGCTCTGGAGCAAATTTTAAGCTGTCTGCATATGCAGATGATATTATTGTTTTGGTTAAAGGGCAAAATGATGTTGATCTTCTTAAAGACATTCTTGACAAATTTGGTCTAATTTCCTCTGCCAAAGTTAACTGGTCCAAAAGTGAAGCCATAATAAGTGGTAACTGGTCCCATGGTCTTCCTACACTACCAGGTGATTTGTACTGGAAAAGAGATGGGTTAAAATATTTAGGAGTATATGTTGGCAATGATTCAATGTTAGGCAAAAATTGGGAAGGAGTTTTAGAAAAATTAAAGGGGCGATTGGAAAAATGGAAATGGCTTTTGCCAAAAATGTCTTTTAGAGGGAGGGTGATAATAATTAATAACCTGGTGGCTTCAGTTTTGTGGCATCGTTTGGCCTGCATTGATCCTCCAAATGGACTTCTGAGTAAAATTCAAGCCAGTATGGTGGATTTTTTTTGGAGCACTTTTCATTGGATACCGCAGAGCATACTTTTTCTACCCAGAGATGAAGGAGGACAAGGACTTATCCATTTGCCCAGCAGGGGGGCAGCTTTTCGACTTCTGTTTATTCAAAGGTACCTCACAGGACCTGAGGATCTTGTCTGGAGAAAAGTGGCTGATGCTATTTTCAATCAAGCTGGCGGACTGGGATTGAACTCTGTCTTGTTTTTGATGGACTCTAGTAAGCTGCAGTGCAACGGACTGACTCCTTTTTATAAGGGACTTTTTAAAGTTTGGGACTTATTTGAAAAACGGAGGTTGGATGCGACTTCCTCGTTGTACTGGCTTTTGGAGGAACCTCTTGTGCATGGAGCGCGGTTTGATGTTACGTGTGAAGTTACACCTGGACTGCTTCATTGTTTAATTTCCACTAAGACATTAAAACTGCATCATGTGTTGGATGTTGCTGGTTCTGGTTTGAATAATGTTCAGTCCATGGCCGCATATCTAGGTGTGCGGTCGGTACGGTATGTAGAAAAAAAATTCTGGACTTTTTTAAACAGAAACTCACAGAAGAAGAACATAATTTGTTAATTGAATTTCATAATGGGAAACTGGTTCCTAATAATACAGATCCATTACCAAGTATTTTTCTTAGTCCCAATCTCAAAGGACTGTCTGGACCTTTTCTGAACCTGAGAGGGCTAGAAGGGTTAAGTTTGCAGGGTGTTCAGAGTAAAGTTTTGTATAAATGTCTTGTAAAAGTTTTAAATAAAGCACATTTAAAAGAACGTAGTGATACAGTGTGGAGAGAGAAACTGGGAATAGATGATGAAAAATAAACCTGTTTGGAGAGTCTTATACAAACCACCAATTGAAAAACGCACAGGTGACATTCATTGTTTTTTAGAATGTTCTAGACTGTATGAAATGTTTTGTTTGCTTGATGTACTTTTCATGAATTTTGGGGAGATTTTTTCATCTATGATTTGGATTCTTGGACCCAAATATAGTGTGGCACAAAGAATAAAAAGTCAATTGTTGAATTTTTTAATTGGGCAAGCTAAACTTGCTGTTTACATAACCAGGAGAAACAAAATAGAGGGTAGAGAAGGACAACATGTGGTTATTGTCTTTAAAAATATGGTAAAAGCAAGGGTTATGTTTGATTTCAAGTTCTATAAACTGATGAATGACTTTTTTGCACAAATGGTGTTTTAATGGAGCTATTTGTACAGTTGAAGAAGAAATGTTGATTTTTGCTATGATGTTACAATAAGTCTTGTTTTTTGTATCTCCTTTTTGTCTTTTGGATAATGTGATTGGGTCATTTGCTGACGTTGTAATGATATAAATAAAGTGTGTTGAAAACTCTCTCTCTCTCTCTCACACACACACACTCTCACTCTCTCTCTCTCTCTCTCTCTCTCTCTCTCTCTCTCTCTCTCTCTCTCTCTCTCTCTCTCTCTCTCTCTCTCTCTCTCTCTCTCTCTCTCTCTCTCTCTCTCTCTCTCTCTCTCTCTCTCTCTCTCTCTCTCTCTCTCTCACACACACACACACATGGTTAATTCCCTGTTTGTCAGTGAAGAGTCTGTGGTGTCTGGTCTTCATCTTCATTCACTCATGCATCCGTGCTGCACCTCGTCTCTGCTCCTCTGATGAGACTGAGAAAGTTCCCCATCCTCATGTTGAAGGTCCAGCACAGTGAGAACTCGAGTGAGGTCTGCAGTCGTGTTCCCCTCTCAGACAACATCAGGATGAGGGATGGACTGTTCATTACTCTCGACTGCCACCTGCTGGCCGATCTAAACTAACGCTTGTCTTCAATAAAGACTGCGTCTCAGCCGTTGTCCTGCTCAGATCTGATTTAATCTTTCTGCAAATGCACATAGTTCTCCATAATTTCAATTAAGTCTTCAAGAGCACATGTGAAAAAAATACAACTTTATTTATTGAAACTAAAAGCAGTCTGACAAGTGTTGAAGTGTCTTTAAATACTTTAACAAATATTTAGGGTGCATTTCATTTATATTTATATTTGTTCATACTATTTTCAATCAGACAAAACAATATTAAGCTGCTTCAACTGGAACTTTTGAAATACAAATGTTTCTCTTTGGAAACATTTCATAAAATATTTAAAAACATGATTTTGTACAACTGAGGAATGTCTGTCACCAAAGTTTAAGTTTGTATCTTTCATTTAGATACTGCACCTGTGTGTGTGTGTGTGTGTGTGTGTGTGTGTGTGTGTGTGTGTGTGTGTGTGTGTGTGTGTGTGTGTGTGTGTGTGTGTGTGTGTGAGAGAGAGAGAGAGAGAGTGTGTGTGTGTGTGTGTGTGTGAGAGAGAGAGAGAGAGAGAGAGAGAGAGAGTGTGTGTGTGTGAGAGAGAGAGAGTGAGAGAGAGTGTGTGTGTGTGTGTGAGAGAGAGAGAGAGAGAGTGTGTGTGTGTGTGTGTGTGTGAGAGAGAGAGAGAGAGAGAGAGAGAGAGAGAGAGTGTGTGTGTGTGTGTGTGTGAGAGAGAGTGTGTGTGTGTGTGTGTGTGTGTGTGTGTCTGTGTGTGTGAGTGTGTGTGTGTGTGAGAGAGAGAGAGAGAGAGAGAGAGAGAGAGTGAGTGAGAGAGAGAGTGAGAGTGTGTGTGTGTGTGTGTGTGTGTGTGTGTGTGTGTGTGTGTGTGTGTGTGTGTGTGTGTGTGTGTGTGTGTTGAGGGTGGGGGGGTATTGGATGTGTGTTAAGGCCAGAGAATAAAAGCTAGGGAGAAAAACAAGAAAAGGAACAAAAACTATAAATTATAATAAACACAAATTTCAAACAAGAGAGAGGAGAGGAGAGAAGAATCAGTCTTATGGCCCAGTATGCATTTATAAATGAAAAATTAATTTCAGCCCAATCCAACTTCCCCACAACATGCAAGACAGTTTCTATCCAGAACATGATCTAACAGAGAGAGAGAGAGAGAGAGAGAGAGAGAGAGAGAGAGAGAGAGAGAGAGAGAGAGAGAGAGAGAGAGAGAGAGAGAGAGAGAGATCCATACACACCTTCTCTTCAATCTCTTTGATCTGTCTTCTCTGCATGTCGATCTTATCTTCAAGCTCTCTGATCCTCTGTAAGATTAATGAAAAAAAAAAAAAAATCATAATTTACTAATTCTGTCATTCCAGACCTGTATGGCCTATTACCTTTCATGAAAAACAACAAGAGATATTTAGCAGAATGTTTAAGCATAACATGAAAGTGGATGGTGACCATCATGCACATTGCATGTAAAGAGCAGCACACACACACACACACACACACACACAGATCCTGACCTGCTGTGCAGACTGGAGCAGCTCCATGCGCTGCTGTAGCACTAACGTGTCGGCATGGCGACTCTGCCTCAGGATCTGTCTCCGCACCGCCTCCATGGACTCGGCCAGCTGTGCTCTCTGCCTGTCACTCAAACTCTCGCCCACACAGCTGTCAGGATCCTGCTGGAGGGCGGAGTATAGAGTCGCCTCCAGCTCCTGCACCCTCTAAACACCACACACAAACATCTATCATGAGTTTGGACAGTTCCCTTTCGAGGGAACTCACGCTGCATCAATGACTCTTTGGGAACGGCCCTGCGTGATTGCGTCTGAAGCATGTCAACTAGTCCAATGGCGAGAGTGAACGTCACGACCAGGAAAGGATAAAGCACATCCGGTCTAACCGGCGTTAGCTTCTTGTGAGAAGCTTTCAATCTGCATGCTCCGCTCCTACCATCTCAACTTTCACTTTCCGACCCTGCTGCTGCATGCTGTACATGAGACCCTTGCAGTGGTGGCTCAGGACCAAAGGGTTTTCTCCGAGGGGGAACCCACTTCGTATGATCAAGATCACACGGCGGTGTCTCTGCACCTTGATTATATGGAGGAAACCTTGATTCCTCTCCCAGGGTCCTGTGTTAGGAGTTCAGTGTCATCGAGTTCCTCTCACGACAGATGCTTCTCTCACAGGCTGGGGAGCGGTAATGGAAGGCCGCTCAGCTCAGGGTCTGTGGAGGACTCATCATCTTTCTTGGCACATAAATTGCCTGGAGATCATGGCAGTCTTTAATGCGTTGAGACACTTCCTTCCAGACCTGAGGGGCCATCATGTGCTTGTCCGTTCAGACAACACATCGGTGGTCTCTTACATAAATCATCAGGGGGGTCTGCGCTTGCGGCCAAGATGCACCAGATCCCCCTGTGGTCCCTGGGGAAGATGCTCTCCCCGAGGGTAGTGTATATCCCAGGGGGCCAGAATATAGGAGCAGACCTCCTGTCGAGGCAGGGGCTGAGGCCCGGGGATTGGAGACTCCACCCCGAGTTGTGGAGCATATATGGGAGGTTTACGGCCAAGCGGAAGTGGATCTGTTTGCATCTCAGAACACGACGCACTGTCCACTTTGGTTCTCCCTCACACAGAGGCTACGTCTGTACGCATTTTCCCCAGTTGCTCTGCTCCCTGGAGTTCTGGAGAAAGTCCGCCGAGGTGGAATAAGCCTACTGCTGGTGGCACCACACTGGCCGAGCCGAATTTGGCTCTCCCTTGGAGATTCCGGTCAGGAGAGACCTTCTGGCTCAGGCGGGGGGAGTGATGCTTCACCCCCGTGCAGAGATATGCAACTTGTGGGTTTGGCTTCTGAGGGGGCTCAACTAATAGATGCTGAGGTTGTAGAGACCATACTTAACTCCAGAGCTCCATCAACTAGGAAACTATATGCTTTGAAGTGGAGGGTTTTCACTTCGTGGTGCAATCAGCATCAGTGGGATCCAGGTAACTGCCAAGTTGGTTCAGTGCTTGGATTCTTGCGAGATCGCTTTTCAGCAGGGCTATCTCCCTCTACCCTAAAGGTTTACGTGGCGGCCATTGTGGCCTTCCACGCCCCGGTGGGTCATGCATCTCTTGGGACGGACCCTCTGATAATTCGTTTCCTTCGTGGTACACTGAGGCTGAAGCGTGCAACTCGAACCAGGGTTCCTGCCTGGGACCTGGCCAAAGTCCTAGAGGGCCTGTCTGTGACTCCCTTTGAGCCCCTCGATTTGGTTTCAGAAAGGTTTCTGACTTATAAGACCATCTTTCTTCTGGCTATTTCTTCTCTAAAAAGAGTTGGAGACTGTTAGGATGTACCAACGGCCAGAGGTATAAATGACGTGACAAGGGCAGAAAAACACAGTCCAGAGTGGTTTTAATTCCAAAAGGTGCAAAAATATCAATATTCATTAGGAATAGGAAAGTAATAGAAAAACAGACTATCAAAAATTATAATACCAAAGAAAATAAATAAAAATTGTTTACAATACACAAATGTAAGTTGACTATGCAAATGTACAGGCCCACAAATACAAACGAGATTCAACCTCTCCACCAACCTTTCTCCCCTAAAATGGCTGCCTGTTTTATAGGCCTAAGCTCCTCCTATTTTGGGTAAATGCCATTTTAGGGAGAAACCTATAAATTACAAAGAGGTGACAAGACATAAACAAACAAACTGTCATGACATTTCAACTCTAAATCATACATCATTTATATCTAGTACAATTTAAAGGGCTCAAAACAATAAAGACAATACATATAAGAAGAAAACTTACATACTGGGTTCCCTCCCTCCCCCATGAGGTCAGAATCAGATGGAGTAATCTTCCATGAGCACATGCTAGTTTAAATATGGCTACTTTCCTTGTGTACTGGTTTGGCAAATGAGGGGTGTATCGGAAGGTATGTGTAGCTGTTTGAAATGCATGTTAACTTGGTAACTGAATGAAATTAAATAAACCCTTATTGTATAAAGTGTTTTTGGTGTTCTTTTCTGTGAAAATATATTTGATCGTCATGTGCCACTGAACATTAAACATTTAAATCACATAAACTAACAACTTGATACACCTGATGGGATGTTACAACACAAAAACAAACAAAATGGCTACAAACATACAACCAGTTTGCGTGTATGTGTAATGGTGAAAATGGTTTGTTGTGTGCACATACCCATACTCAATCCCTTCAAAATAAAAGTCTTGGGTCACAGTCTGTGACAGAGACCTTCAGGCCCTTTCGGTCTCTCCCACCTGCCTTCGCACCGGGGATGGTCAAGGCATTTTTACACCCTAAACAGGGCTACGTCCCTAAAGTTCCGACCCATATACCAAGGCCTTTCCAGGTCGTGACTTCACCCGCCCGTGACGTTCACTCTCGCCATTGGACTAGTTGACATACGTGCCTCAGACGCAATCATGCGGGGCGTTCCCAAAGTGTCATCGACCCAGCGTCTCGTTCCCTTCTCAGGGAACTAGGGTTACAGTCGTAACCTGAGTCGATTCCATTTCTTAAATGTTTTACATCTTACGATCTGTTGATCAAACTGAGCAAACTGGCACTTGCCACAAATATGATAAAAAATGATGTCCTGTCACTTTTTAATTAAATAAAGGCATTCATCTACAATGTAACTGTATATTATGTTGGCCTGTCTCATCTCACTGCTCTTACTGTATTGAACTGATATTTGTAAAAGGATTCACCTTTTGTAATTTCTAAAAGTAGTGCTACATATGCTTTTACTTTCTTGACAACTGTTTTTCTGAGACTTAACTGTGGTACTGTAGGCCAACAACATTTCTTTTACTGGCAAAATAATGGAATAAAATCGAATCAAACAAGGTAGAATTGTTGATTACGCAACACAATCTCATGGTCCTACCAGTTGGGCATGATCAAGAGCTTGCTTCCTGTAGTCCAGTTCCTCTTCCAGGAAACCTTTCTGTTTACTGAACAGCTCCTGTTGATCACATCAGTACAGCGAGGTCAAGACAGCATCACACACTTTAATCGACTGTCATCAAGCCTCATCTATCACTAGACCGGCTGTAAGAACAAACAGCACAACACATTCATCTCTGACCTTCTCATTCTCCAGATCAATCATTTTCTGCGTCAGCGCAGCTTCGGTGCTGTCAATCTGCTTCAGCCACTGGTCACAAAGACAAAGCAATTCAATAGAGCTACAGACAAAATAGAAGCCATATCATCTTTGAGGATTTAAAGAATGAAGGGCATGATACCTTTTCACATAAAGACAGCACAGTGCCTGCTTGAATTACTGTCACCTGCTCCTCGTTTCGCAAGTTCTGTCAGCGAGAAGTGAAAAGTTAATTTTAGCTCTCGATTGTGAGAAACAGGAGTAACACGTGCACATATTAAATATGGTTCTTACCCCATTATCGCCAAGAATGTCAAGCTTTTTCATGAGGTCAGGAATGATGACATCCTAAACCAAACACATGTGAAGATGAGGCCATCGTACAGTACGCTTTCATACAGTACATGTGTGCAAATGTATGCAGGTGTAAAATTTGTTGTATGTTGTATATGAATAATTGTATTGTATAAAGGATAGAACTGTGACATCCTATTGATTATGGAGTATCAATGGATATAAACTTGTTTTGAACCGACACATTCATTCATCCGCACAATGGCCCTCATTTACAAAACGAAAGTATTACAATAAACTGTGCATGCGGTCATTTCCACGCAAAACGTGACATTTATCAATATGGACGTGAGCGGTGGCTAAGATCAAATCTCACATCAGGTTTCAACTCGAGTACGCAATTTTTTGAGTTATCGTGAACTTGTGTGCAACAATTGTTAAGAAAGCATTTTGACTGGAATAAAAACATATGAAGCCATATTCATCATTTAAAATGTGTTGGTAATGTGTTCTATTTACAGTATGTCATATATCCTATCCATAACAATAATAAGGTATTTTCTTATATTAGATACTTCTACAATAATTGTTTGTAATTATGAGGTTTACAAGTGTTTTTGATCTAAGACCAATTTTCATCAAACATTACTTTCTCTTCTTGGGCTTGGCCATGTTACATTTCTCCATGTTATAAACGTTTCGGTTACTAACGTAAACTTGGTTACCTGAGATAACAGGAACGATCATTGCGTCAATTACTGAAGCTAAAGGAAAACTTTTTTTCTCTGAAATACTGAAACCTGATTGAATCGCGTCTGTGCACCTGTACAGGTAAATGGCATTTCAGAGCGCTCAAATGGGCAGGGACATCGGCCTATTTAATCTGGTGCTGACAGCCATTTCATCAGAATATTTCGACTGAGGAGCAGCAAGCTTCGACTTGATAGCCAGCGCAGTAACAAGGCCAGCATACGCAATGCACTGAAACATTCCCTTTCAAAGCAGTTCACTTGTATTTTGTCAGTTGCTGTCCAATCAATACGCAGAACGGAAGAGTCATCCTGCGAGCCTAACCTGGGGCACTCGAGGTTAGTGCCCTTTCATAGGCTAGCTATCAATCCACATTAGGAAGAACAACTTTGAGGTGAAACAAGAATTCACCCACTTATACCTCGGCTCAGGCCTTCGAGGCTGAAGCCTTTGGAGCATGCCACAGATCCTGTCTGCCTGAACCAGTATATGGCTCCTATGGGTGGTTATCCTGAAGGGCAGGGACGTCCAAGTTATATAACCAAGCGAAGTTAGTTGCAAAGCATAGGTAGATGGCAAGAACCACTGTGAAGATGTTTCGTACCTACTATCCAACAGGATAGTCTCTGTTTCGTAACTGGCAGCCCCTAAGTGCGGCCTCCGAAGCACACAAAAAGCTGCTCTGACTGGCGGAATTGGCTAGAGTGCTCAATATGCAAGGGCTCGGACCAGGCACAGTAGTTGCAATGACTTGTGTCCTGAACGGAATGGAGACCACCTTAGCACAGAGCCATGACTCGGCTTAAGGACGACCTTACAGTAATTAGGTCGAAAGGGTGGACTTAAGCGAAAAGGGGCCGCAGTTTGGCCATCTGTAGAGGCTCAAAAGGGGGGCCTCGGAGAGCCCTGAGGACCGTACACAGATCCCAGGTCAGAACTGCATGGAGGCAAAGAACACAGCACATACACGCTCAAGGTATATGAGGTGGCCACGTACCATGCCCCATTTGCTAGCCAATCAGTAAGGAAGAACGACGACACCGCGATGGCCGCCACATACACCATGGGCGTGGATGGGGTGTGTCCCTTATCCAGAAGCTCCTGCAAGAAGGTCAATATTGATGCAACATCACAAGACAAAGGATCTACATTCTGGACTGCACACCAGTCAGAAAAGACAGACCAATTGAGAAAGACGCCTAGTAGAAGGTAGCCTCGTGAGACCATCCTGATCTCGCGAGCTTTCAAGGTTTCACTCGCAGATCAGTCTGGATACTTTCCGTTAAAGAAAATTTGGGAGCAGTTCACCAAACGAACGTCCAATCAGCGTTGGCTTTGAGGCGGGTTGAGGTGTGACGCAACGAGAAGCGCGTCAGTTCAGTCTAAAGAACATGTCGGCTTCAGCGGATGAAACTAGCATCAGCGTGGCTATCGAGCAAGTTTTATCGGAATTACAGAGTATTTCTTCACTGAAAGAAGAGCAAAACACTGCTCTGGAGGCTTTTCTCAGAGGAAAAGATACGCTCTGTTAGTACGTCATATGCTTCGTTGATCTGATTGGTTGATTTGGCCCGTCTATCACCAACATAGGCCAATCAGCTAACCAGTATTTTCGCCCCTTACCAAAACTACTTCAACGGAAGGTTTCCAGATGGATATGCGGAGCAAATCCATCTGGCGGAGTCAGGTTAAGTAGAAGGCACTCTCGCCTCTGAAATAGTGTTCATGACATTCTGAGTGAGGCGCGAAGGCTCCCATCGAGGGGCGAAGATGGTGAAGATGTTCACTTCTGGTTGATCGAAGATACTCCAAATCATCTGAACCATCTGGGGGTGGAGTCTCCATAGGCCTATTTCACAAAAATGGCCGCCGAGACCGGAAGTAGGGTAAACTCTTTTCCGGTGAAAGTGCTAGCAGTTGCAGTCGGAGGACAAATGCGGAGACTAAAAGCGTACAGTCCTGTTGCGTACCTTTTTATGTTTCCACTCAAAGAAGAAACAATAATATTTATCACTTCACATCTTTCCGTGTTTTGCGGGTTTTCATGGAACAACTGGGGTGAAGTTAAATCACGCCAGACACAGACGGCAAAAAGACGTGTGTGAAGGAGGAAGCAGATGTTGAAATAGTGTGTTGATGCCGGTTCGGGAGTGATGCCCTGACAAAATATGTTTATATTGCACTTGATTGTTATCTGATTTGCACGTTATGCACTTTTATTTATTATTATTAACTGTTGGCAAATTAAAATTGTTTGTAGAAGTTGTTTTCTGTAACTTTCTTTCCTTTTTTTTCTTTTTACCTGGGTGCGCTTTGCCAGGCCTGCTGTTTACTTGTACAAGCAAGGGCAGCTGGAACATTTATTAAACGTGTAGAATACTTTCCGAACCGTTACATATAGTGTTATAATATATAGCATATAGACGTTCATGATATAAAAACATAAACATATTAGAATAACTTTTAAAATTGAGTGAACACGGAGCAGTTTTTCCCGTGAGTGGGACTAGAATACCCGGAGTGGATCAGGAGGGGAGTGATGACAGTACGCTTAGAGTGCAGAGAGGAACGTGGTTTGCTCCACTCCAGGCTTTGATCACATCCCCCTAAGCAGGGTGAACGCCTCGTCCTTCCTTAATTTAAGACCCATTCAAACTTAATGTATGTCAAACTTAAAATGAAGACATGTATTACACTATTTGAGAAATGTAAGCATATTTACGGCATTAAAATTATGAAAAGTAAATTTAAGACATAAGGACAGGGGGGAACCCTGATATTGACGGAAATCCGTCGAATACTCTCTCGTAGCGATGGAGAACTTTAATCCCTGTATATATATGAAGTGTATTACTGAATTTAAAATTACATGCATTATATATTAGTAAATATATTGTCTCACATTTTTAAATATATTAAATTTCCTTATGTATTATTCAATATATATTGTAATATATTAACACCATATATTATTCTGTATATTTTCAAATATACTGTTAAACCATTTAATATATTGATCATTCACATATAGGGAAATATATTTTCTTTTCATAAGGGGACCCCAGACAGTAAAATGTGATTTTGTAACATCATGATTTTTAAAAAACATGTAATATCACTAACTGCATTCATGTTTTTAGTCTAACCATTTTTTAATTATTTGCCTTAATTTCATTATTAGACCTACTAGCAACGTTAGGTCAAATTCACTATAAAGATGTAAAATTCTTAGTTTCATTCATGGTGGTAACATGAAAAATGAGCCATAATCTAGTGGAAGATTGCTGCAATCTCCTGAAAAAACTAACACTTAATAACATGAAATTTGAACAAAAAGCCAGTAGATTTCACTCATAGCCTACAATCAGACATAATTTCAGTGTATTTATTTATTTTGTTTAGCTATAGTAAGTGTGAGCTTAGTCATCAAGTGTCATGCCATTTAAATGAATGGAACTTTTTTTTTTATGTAAGCAAACGTCAAGAATTTGTTACCTTTGTCCAATTTCGATCTTTTCACAGCTCCCTGAAAACCATCAACAAAACGGACAACTATGCTATTCTTACTTTTGTCAGATATATTAATATCTGAGAGAAAAAACAAGCTGTTCACAGTCTATTTTGAGAATGAATGGCGATCAGATGGCGATCGTAGCGGGCAGCGGCGCGACCGGAAGTATCGCTACCCTACTTCCGGTCTCGGTCGCCATTTTGTGAAATAGGCCTATTCCCCTGGAGATACACTGCTCCGGGACAGTATGTCTTCTTCCTGGTTCAGCCTGCCTGGCACATGCACTGCCCTCACCAAACGGTGGCTGTGCTGTGCCCAAAGGAGGAGACGTCTCGCCAGTATCTTCAGAAGGCACAACCTGAGTCCCCCCTGGTGGTTTATGTAGGCTACCATAGTCATGCTGTCTGATCGGACCAGGATGTGGTGTCCCTTCAGGTTCGGCAGAAAGGCCTTGAGTACCAGAAGAACCGCCATCCTTTCCAGGCAGTTGATGTGTCAGCATAGCATCGGGCCCGACCAGGAGTTGAACGCCGGCCTGCGTCACACAGGGCGCCCCAACACGAGTTGGAGGTGTTAGTCGCGACTACCTTCCTTCTGGCGACTAGCCCCAGATCCACTCCCGACTGGTACAGTTGGGGCGATTTCTAAGGGGCCATGGCTCTAAATTTTCAGAAAAAGCTTTAGAGAAAGCCAGGCGCGCATCTGGGCCGAAAACCGTACCCAGGAAGGATATTCAGCAAACTCTTCATCAGGTTGATTCTAATCCCAGTCTAATGTTTCGACTGGGCCAAAACAAGCCAGTCGTCGATGTAATTCAGGATGCACACTCCTTTCTGTCTCAGGGGGAGAGAGCCACATCCATGCACTTCGTAAAGGTGTGTGGAGCCAGAGACAGTCCATGGAGTTCGACCATTCTCGACCGCTCTCTCTAAAGAACGTGATCTGCGAGCGCAGCGAGGCAAGATCCATGCTCTCGCATTGAGAGCAAACACTCTGTGAGTGTGACTTCGGCGTGGGCGGCCAGGCAAGCTACGCACTCAGAGTGCTCGTCCAAGGGATGCAGGGGTCACAGCCTTCACTGAAATTTGCTCTTTTTGAAGCGAAATTAGCTCTGGACGCTTCGCCAGATTGCTGCAGGGGAGAAAAGCAGTGCTCAACTGCAGTCGCAGTCAACGCCTTCAATCTGCTCCTGGGGTTTCAGTCTTCGTATTTCTTCTTTGGAGTCTGTAAGGAGATGAACTTTGCACTGCAAGGAGAAAGATTCTGATGAAATGGCATTCAGCGCCGACTTACACTCACCTAAAGGATTATTAGGAACACCATACTAATACTGTGTTTGACCCCCTTTCGCCTTTAGAACTGCCTTAATTCTACGTGGCATTGATTCAACAAGGTGCTGAAAGCATTCTTTAGAAATGTTGGCCCATATTGATAGGATAGCATCTTGCAGTTGATGGAGATTTGTGGGATGCACATCCAGGGCACGAAGCTCCCGTTCCACCACATCCCAAAGATGCTCTATTGGGTTGAGATCTGGTGACTGTGGGGGCCATTTTAGTACAGTGAACTCATTGTCATGTTCAAGAAACTAATTTGAAATGATTCGAGCTTTGTGACATGGTGCATTATCCTGCTGGAAGTAACCATCAGAGGATGGGTACATGGTGGCCATAAAGGGATGGACATGGTCAGAAACAATGCTCAGGTAGGCCGTGGCATTTAAACGATGCCCAATTGGCACTAAGGGGCCTAAAGTGTGCCAAGAAAACATCCCCCACACCATTACACCACCACCACCAGCCTGCACAGTGGTAACAAGGCATGATGGATCCATGTTCTCATTCTGTTTACGCCAAATTCTGACTCTACCATCTGAATGTCTCAACAGAAATCGAGACTCATCAGACCAGGCAACATTTTTCCAGTCTTCAACTGTCCAATTTTGGTGAGCTCTTGCAAATTGTAGCCTCTTTTTCCTATTGGTAGTGGAGATGAGTGGTACCCGGTGGGGTCTTCTGCTGTTGTAGCCCATCCGCCTCAAGGTTGAGCGTGTTGTGGCTTCACAAATGCTTTGCTGCATACCTCGGTTGTAACGAGTGGTTATTTCAGTCAAAGTTGCTCTTCCATCAGCTTGAATAAGTCGGCCCATTCTCCTCTGACCTCTAGCATCAACAAGGCATTTTCGCCCACAGGACTGCCGCATACTGGATGTTTTTCCCTTTTCCCACCATTCTTTGTAAACCCTAGAAATGGTTGTGCATGAAAATCCCAGTAACTGAGCAGATTGTGAAATACTCAGACCGGCCCGTCTGGCACCAACAACCATGCCACGCTCAAAATTGCTTAAATCACCTTTCTTTCCCATTCTGACATTCAGTTTGGAGTTCAGGAGATTGTCTTGACCAGGACCACACCCCTAAATGCATTGAAGCAACTGCCATGTGATTGGTTGATTAGATAATTGCATTAACGAGAAATTGAACAGGTGTTCCTAATAATCCTTTAGGTTAGTGTATATAGGCAGATAGCCCCACCCGATTAGGCACGCTGAAATGCCATTTGTCTGTGCATTTGCACAGACGCGATTCAATAAGGTTTCAGCATTTCGCAGAAAAGATTTTTCCCTAAGTGTCAGCAATTGATGCAATGTCTGTGAACCGTTTCAAAAGGGAACTCTAGGGCAAGTCTTCTTAGGCTGCATTTCCAATTTTAATGCTCTCCCTTGGTCTTCCCTTCATCTCGGTCACTCGGATGTATGTCATTGCTTACGTTGCACGAGAGCCCACTATTGGCGGAACCCTTGAAATTAGTTTAAATGGAATATTCTAAGCCCTTGATCACTGAAATCCGCAATGGAGCTCATTTATTATTTACAGTTTTTCCTTATGAATTTGTTTTAAGCGCCATTCTATAGGCCTGTATGTATACTTGGGCTGTTGGAGAAAATATAAAAAATTACACAAACGAAAATGATAATACAATAAACTATAACAGTCAGCTTAAGGTAGCTACAAGTATTCTCCAATAACTCCAATTATAAGTTACTCCAATATCATATATTAGAGTTGTATGGGGAGGGGGAAATTAAGTGCCTTCTGCTGTGACTTCACAAACGTGTTGCCTTGTGGTCAATGGGTCTATAGTGTACATATTGAGTAGACTTGCTCCCTCAGTCAAAATCGAGGGATCAAGTGTCTATCCAAATAAACATACCTCGCCCACTTGACGAAGTTGAACGCACCTCAAAATGATGGCTGGATTCCCCCGAAGGGAAGTGCTTAGGGAAGTTCACAAGTGTTTGTCTAAAAGTGGAGTTATGGACAATCCCATGAGGCCACGGGAGAGAATTTATGAATGGCAGTGAAGCGACGCAACTGACTTCAACAATATTATTGATCTGAATGTCCTGACGCTGCTGTATGAGAACTGAGCTGGAAGATGAACTCATTTTTGCAGAACTGCTTTATTGATTAAATGAAGTAATTTGATAATTGATGATCTTTACAATGGATCTGAATCAAGACTAAACTGACTTCAGCTGAGCAACAGGCGAAATTATTTTCCTGTTATCACTGTACAGCTGTGCTTTGAAACAACCTGTATTGTATAAAGCGCTATAGAAATGCAGGCGACTTGACTTGACATCTGAATTTCATTCATACTTCCCACATTCATACTACATAGAACATACTTTTTTTAACAGTTGTGAGGTAAGTTCAAATTCAAATGTAGTACCTACTCGGATAGTTAGCGATTTCGGACGTAGCGTGTGAATTTTTGGGCATGATATTTAAATGACGATTGTTTACAACTGCCACATTTCTCAACGTCTGATCATTCATATGAGGGGATTGGCTGCATACGAATGTTTGATGAATCACATGTGTGATGTTTGATGAACCCAGTCGTAAGATGATTTCTGAAACCATTTCTACATAGTGATGTATGTCTCGAGACAGGTCTCGATCTTGTCACGGCCTTGACGGTCTTTGGTCTTGGTCTTGTCTTGGTCTTGGACCTCTCGGTCTTGTCTAGGTCTTGCTGTCTAAGACCGACATGGAGGATTTAGCAATACAATACTACAATATCCACGACGATATCCGCAACGGATTGAAGCGCGTGTCCGAGTGAAGACAGTGCGGTGTGTGCGCGAGCCACACGACTCGAGAAAACACCGTATCAGCGCCACTGATCGCAGCAGCAACGAGCACTTTGATCACTTGATTTAAAAAACACATATCATGCACAGTTTTTGATGTATCAATATTTAGTAAAACACATATCAGTGACATGGTGGGTTTTAACTTCATTCAGGAGATTATGGGTAACTGCACAACTGACAGATGACTTTGAGCGCACCGCCAACGGTGTGTGTGTGTGTGTGTGTAACCATAGCGACAAAACGACCAACTCTCGGATCCTGCACTTAAGCTTGTAATTTCGTTTTTAAAAATATAATTATGTATTTAAAAGTTGCAGAATGGATTCATTTCGAAATCGGCAGAGATAGGCAGGCAATGCAAAACAAAATCTTACAAGTTATTGCTTAGCTTCAACAACACTAGTCTGTTTTTTTCCCCTCCGGTCTCGGTCTTGGTCTCGACTTAGTCTGTCTTGGTCTTGGTCTTGTCTTGGTCTCGATACCCTCTGGTCTTGGTAGTGTCTTGGTCTTGGTTTAGGCGGTCTTGACTACAAGTCTATTTAATACGTTAGATTGATAAATGAGGCTTATTATTTCTATATTTCTATACTTAGTATATTTTAAATGAAACATCTTAACATTAGTCAATTTGGCATTTAATGGTTATATTTGCCAGTATGTGTGTGAGTGTGTGTGTGAGTGTGTGTGTGTGTGTGTGTGTGTGTGTGTGTGTGTGTGTGTGTGTGTGTGTGTGTGTGTGTGTGTGTGTGTGTGTGTGAGAGTGTGTGTGCATGTACAGGTGTGTTTTTACCTTGACACCCTCTTGTTGGCAGTGTAGCTGTAGGATACTGTTGTTTTCAGAGGCAGAGATTTGCAGGTTAAAGGCAGGAGAACGCCGTTCCCTCTCCTGTTGGTTAAAAGAATAACTGGTGGTGAAATATACAGAAAAAACTTCTTTCGGGAGTAATAGTATCTGTAGAGAAACTGTTGCTTTAAAGGGATAGTTCACTCAAAATTCTAATTCTGGAATTGTTCAACCAAAAATAAACATTCCCTTTCAAGAGAACTCGCGTTTCGTCGAGATGACGCTGTGGGAACTCTCTACGTGATTGCGTCGTGAAGCACTTGTGAAATCAGTCCAATGGCGTATATAGGCGGGTGACAACATGGCAGGAAGCTATAAAGCACACCCAGACCAAACATTGTCAGCTTCCGTGTCTTCAGCGAGCGCTCTGTGTGAAACGGTCTCTGTCTATTTATTGTTGTTTGTCCACAAGCATATTGTATATCAAGACAGGAGTATGGGGGTCCATCCACCGGGGTGAGCCCCGCGCAGGCTCTGGTAATGGAACAAGAAGTGAAAACCCTGCTGGAGAAAGGGGCCATAGAACATGTACCTCCCTCCAACAGGGAAACCAGGTTCTACAGTCGGTTTTTCATAGTTCCAAAGAAGGATGGGGGGGTTGCGTCCCATTTTGGATCTGCGAGTGCTGAACGAGTAAGTCATGCAGCGAAAATTCACTCCTGGGTCCCAGGTGATTCTGTCTTTGTTGTGCTCGCCTGATTTCACACAAGACAGGCACTGGTCATTATGGTGGCGTTGGTATAGACGTTCGCACAGCGTCAATTTTGAAGCAATGCGAGTTCCCTTGAAAAGGAACACTTCGGTTACGACTGGAGATGTGATTGACAAGCTTCCTGCCATGACGTCACCCGCCTATACGCCATTGGACTGATTTTACAAGTGCTTCACGACGCAATCACACAGTGCATTTCCACAGCGTCAATCTCGACGCAACGTCTCGTTCCCTCTTCAGGGAACCGAGGTTACAGTCGTAACCGAGGCGTTCTTTCTTCAGCTGAAAAAAAAAGAAGATAATTTTTTTTTAATTATCCTGACAGCTCTTCAACATACATATATATATATTAAAAATTCAAAAATTACAGAACAAAGCACATAAAAGTGGTCCATGCGCTATATTCCATGTCTTCTAAAGTCATACAATGGATAGTGAAATAGCTTAAATGTTGGTCTTTTCAACACACAAAGCTATCATGTGACTTCAGGAGACTGGGAAGATAATGCACTTTTATGATAGGCCTGCTTTAATGGTGTGTCTTTCGCCTTTTTTTGAGCGTGCGATTAATTGAATTGAATGTGCACTTGTAGTTTACTTCAAATCACAAAAGTATATTTTGTTAAAAACTGTTTAAGAGCACACTTTCATGGCAATTTTTCTTTAACACACAAGTATTTTGTAATAGTGTCAAATTTAAAGTTTTTACCTAGAGTATGTCTAAATCATGTTTTAAAGGTGCCCTAGAATGTGAAATTGAATTTATGTTAGCATAGTTAAATAACAAGAGTTCAGTACATGGCCATGACATACAGTGAGTCTCAAACACCATTGTTTTCTCCTTCTTAGTTAAATCTCTTTTTTGAAAAACACCCCTGAAAAACAGGCGAATCTCCACATAACACCGACTGTGACGCAATAGTCGGGATCATTAATATGTACGCCTCCAAATATTTGCATATGCCAGCCCTCAATGCCAGGCGGAACTGCGCAGCCGAAGCATGGCAGTTGCTCAGTGTGGATGTACACATGAACACAAAAGTATTTTTTAGTTCCTTCATCTGAGCCTCTGAAGAAACAATGGGTTAATTTTATTTTCTCTGGAAATTTCCAAACATTTCACCGACTGTTTCCTCAACTTGGGCCAATACAGAGCTGGCCTCGGATCGAGCTACCAAGCAACACTTTCTGATGTGTAATTGTTCAAGTTCAGACAGGTAATCTTTCTCTCAAAATCGTTCAATACTGTTTATGCATCAGTAAGTCAAGCCAGTGACTAAAATATCAGCTTCACATCGTTTCTTTTAGTAGGATGAAAATAATCGTATTTAAATTGTGAACAAATTATATACAGAAAGCGATCAAAGAACAGTCTTTCCACACAGCGCGAGTTTATCTGGACACTTGCCAAACTCGTTATGAAATCAATGACGCACGTTACTGCACAACGAAGCTCTTACTGTATTTACATCATCGTGTTTGCATTGGGGAAAGCAGAGAGAGTGCAGAAACTGCTTTGCAATGATAAGATCTTCATTCTCGCGATCAACACACTGTCATCTGCTCAATGCTCATCACGGCAACATTGTATGTGATGGGAATAGATCTAAATACTTTAAAAACATCTCACGATTCGTTAATCTCGATAGCTGTTATAGTAAAAACGTATAATAGCAGTAGTAAAAGTATTCGAGAGAGTTTCACATGTAATGCGTACTAGCTATTTCATATGCAAGCATGTCAGCCAATCACAGCAGAGGCCGGTTACACACAGCAGACACGCCCCTTCAAACAGAGTGTTCAAATCAGAAGCAGGCTAGGAAAAATGCCATTTATTTCTAAATTATGATTATTTTTTATCTAAAAAACATACTAACATTATAAGGGCAACCCAGGAAACATTATAAAATAATAAAAAAAAACATTCTAGGGCACCTTTAATAAACCTTTGTCTTGATTTAAAGAAGAGCACTTTTTCTGATTGACTAACATGCTAAAGACAGACATGATTATAAATTGAACTGTACTGTTATTTGATATTACATTTAAAATTAATTTTTAAAAATAGTATCTAACTATAGAAAAATACAAATGACAATAGAATGATTTTAGTCAACAATAAATGCTCGTCAGTACACTCCGCAGTAACTTTAACCATAATTCCCTGCACCTGCACTCCCTCATCAACACAGCCTATATCAACCTGCATCACCCTCACATCAGGGTCTGGTCTCGTCAACGTTACTGCTACGTAAAGCCTAGTTCACACTACATGATTTTAAAACGTCGGGCTGAACTGTGCGGTTCACACTACATGACTTGCTCTCTGTGAAATAAAGAGTGTTCAAGTTGTTGAGCTAGTTCACACCACACGACACAACGTGATTGATCCGCAACAGGAGGTAACGCACTACACGAGTTGACAACAACTCTGTCACCCAACGATTATATCTCGTCTACAAACCACGTTTTGTCACGAAAAATCATGCGATAAAACGAACCGGAAATGACACGAAACAGCACGCGCGCCATTACCCAGCGAAGAAGACGAAGAAGAACACAACACGCGAACAAGCCTTGCTCTGATTGGCTGTAGCTCATGACATCACGTGAGCTTGAGTCGTGCGACAGCTCTGGATATCTAGCATGCTAGATATTTTTCTGGGCTCGGCGACGCGTCTGCGAGGCGTCTGCGAGCGTCTTTGATGCGTTGTTGGCTCTTTCATACTAACAGATTGGCGAGCGTTCATCGCCCGCTAATCCCCCGCGATTTGCACGCGATAACACCCTGACCTGTCGGCGAGCTCAACGATTTGCAAATCGGCCTTAAATCGGGCTTAAAATCATGTAGTGTGAACTAGGCTTAAACAGTCAGACTCCTTACCTGAACACTCACCTGAGATCGTCCTGTCACCTGTCCGTCATCCAGATCTCCAGTCATGTTCATCCTTCACCGGCACAGTTTCCACTTCAGTCATCGCCAGCTAAGTCTTCATCGCCTATCATCAAGTCACTAGTGATGGGAAGTCCGGCTCTTTTCAAAGATTCGGGTCTTTTGGCTCGGCTCCTTCAGAAGAGCTGGCTCTTACGGCTCCCAAATGGCTCTTCATTTAGTATCACTCGGACTTCTATTTTAGCCTAATATAGCAATTGTGAATGATTTTTGAGTTGGTAAGCAATTTTTTGTATTCAGTGTTTTAATAAAAGCTTTATATTTATGGATTTTTCTGTTACAAAAAAAAGTTACTATTATTTAACATTTCAATAAAACTTCAATATCAGATGCCTCAGCTTGGATGGGGCTGATGTGATTTCTCCTCTCTGTGATTATTTGTCCTGTTTTTGAGAAGTCTCCAGTATCATTGAAATGCAGCCAGATGCTCTTTACTTTCTCCCAACGCGCTTGCATTTAAATCCAGCTCCCCCGCCTCTCTCTGTCACTCTATGTACCTGGCCTGTACCACTATACTCGCTATCTTCGGAGCGTGTGTCCCCACCTCCTTTCACATAATGGTATTTCACATAATGGCTCATTCACAAACGACACATCACTACAAGTCACCATCGTCTGGTTCCCGCTGTTGTCCCATCACTCTACTTTTACTTGAATAAACCATTTCACCTTACAGTCTGTCTGTTCCCTTCTGTGAGTGTGACAAAAGACCAGACCACAAAGAAGCACAGGATGGACTTCCTCCTCACCCCGGGGAACCCAGTTTACTAACTTCTCACCTGCTTTTAAGATGATTGGCCGATCAAGCACTATGTAGAACAGTTCCTTGATCACGCGCATGAAGTACCCTGGAACGAGGACACATTAAAGACCGTCTTTTGGTGTGGGTTGGACGATCACCTGTATCAGCAAGTTCCTGCAGCTGCAACAACAGGTTCCTTGAAGAGGTACATCGAAGACTTTCTACGGTTATGTGGATCGCCTTCTACGATAGAGGGAGCTGTTCCAGAGTCTCGTTCTGCCGACACCACCCTTCCAGAGTCTCCTCTCAAGATGGCCGCCGTCGTTCCAGAGCCTGGTCCCAAGATGGCCACCAGCACTCCAGAGCCTTGTCACGAAATGGCCACCGCCGTTCCAGAGCCTGGTCCCAAGATGGCCGCCGCTATTCCAGAGCCTCATTCCAAGATGGCCACCGTCACGCATCCTGAGCCCTCAGTCAAGATGGCCACCACCCCACCTCGGTCCCTAGCCTTCACCTCAAGTCAGGAAACGACTCCAGTCCCCTCTTCCAGAACCCTGATCACCCGCCCAACCTCCCTCTCCCGTCTTCCAGCCCTCATCATCTTCACTGCCCACTGTTAGTCCCGCATCTCACCCTCAAAAAACCTTTGGAGAGGTGGCCTCGCTGTGGGACTACCAGCCCTCAGCGCCATCGTGGTCAGGGGTTTCCACGCCGCCTGCCAAGGCCAGGATTCTACATCGGCCCATCGGTCAACTGACTCCGCCTTGGCTCCTACCTCCCTCGTCTCCACCGTGGCCCATCAGTGCTCCACCAGGCTCCCTCGTCCCCCCGGATCCGCCATGGTCGTTCGTCGACCTGCCCTCACCTCTGGACTGCACTCCTCTGCGTCCCTTCAACCCCCCGGCTCCATTGGACTCCTCACTCCCTTCAGCTCCTCCTTGGTTCTCTGTCACTCTGTCTCCACCGCGCGCTTCTGAGTCCCCGCCTTCACCTCAGTTGCCAGAGCCATCAGCCTCCCCATGTCCCTCTGAATCCTCAGTTTCACCATGGCCCGTCAGACCTCCGTCTCCACCCTGTCATCCTCTCGCATCGGTTCCGCCTCCGTCACTCGCCGCCCTGAAGTCCTCTGCCCTTCAGCCTCTATGGCTCCTCGCTCTACCGGCTCCACCATGGATCATGATCCTTCCCCCTGGACCATTTGTTGCGCTTTCCGGGAGGGGGAAGTACTGTCACAGTCACCAGCAAGGTATGCTGTCTGCACTACACTTCCCAGCATCCCTTCTGGTCCACACCTGCACTGAGTCAGCCATCACCACACCTACTGCATTCCCTGCACCTACACTCCCTCATCAACACAGCCTATATCAGGGATGGGCAACTTCAGTCCTGTAGGGCCATTGTCCTACAGAGTTTAGCTTCAACCCTAATCAAACACACCTGAACAAGCTAATCAAGGTCTTCAGGATTACTAGAAAGTTACAGGCAGGTGATTTTTTTCAGGGTTGGAGCTAAACTCTGTAGGACAGTAGCCCTCCAGGACCGACGTTGCCCATCCCTGGCCTATATCAACCTGCATCACCCTCACACCAGGGTCTGGTCTCGTCAACGTTACTGCTACGTAAACAGTCAGACTCCTTACCTGAACACTCACCTGAGATCGTCCTGTCTCCTGTTCGTCATCCAGATCTCCAGTCATGTTCATCCTTCACCTGCAGTTTCCACTTCAGTCATCGCCAGCTAAGTCTTCATCACCTATCATCAAGTCACCAACCTTTCACCATCGTCTGGTTCCCGCTGTTGCCCCATCACTCTGCTTTTACTTGAATAAACCATTTCACCTTACCATCTGTCTGTTCCCTTCTGTGAGTGTGACAGCACGAGGGTAATGGTGATATTTTTGGGAAGAATCCGAACAGTTTATTATAATATCACACCAAACACAATCAAACAACATTATGGAACAGAATGTGTGCAGATCCTATAAATATGATTGAATATCGTAGGCTCTGTGACACTGCTCATGTTTCTCTACTGTAAGTCGCTTTTGGATAAATGCATAGATAAATGTTAAAGTGACTGCTGATTCCATTATCACTACGTCACATGACCTAACTATGATTAGAAGAGCCACAGAATGTCTTAAAACACTAAGAATAGAAATTGTGATATGATGCTGAAAGACAAATGAAGGTATTCTGAACATCTTTTCCTCAATAAAAGAAAAGGCAATGCTGTTAGGTCATACAGGTTTGGAATCATATGAGGGCGATGATGAGAGAATGTTAATTTTTGGTTGAACGATCCCTTTGAGCGCACTTATATAATCAGATGTTTCAGCTGAGATACTGATAAAGAATAGCATTGTGCAGTTAACCAGTATTCCCTCAATGGTTTGCAGTAATTGTAAGTAAAGTGCTCTTTCTTCTTGGTTTCTGCAGTTACTGTATAGTGGTGACCAGGACACACACTAACACGGGGCTTGTTGTCACACACATGGTTTAAAACTTTCCACACATGCCAGCATGACGGAGCTTAGTGTATTTACTAGTTACCATATTAATACTATATATAAAAACATTTTTACCAAAAAATGAAAAAGTCTTTGGAAGATATCACTGAACATTTATTTAACCATAGCAAAAGTACATTTCTTACATGTGTTAATTTTTCATGTTTTTTTTGTGTGTGTGTGTTTATTTAAAATGAGACAAATCTGATATTACAATCTTATATCTGTTATTTAATAGTTGAGATAGTTGTTTAATGCTGATCTAACTAGAAGACACTCGCCGGGTTTAAATCCCAGTTGCAAAGACGGGGCATGTTGTCACACTGCGTTACAATGAGCCCCTATTAGAACTATTCTATTATATTCTATACTTTAATTAATTCTGTTGAGAAAACATGAGAAAAAGGTCAATAAAGACACAATGTTCAGAAATGAATAATTATTATGTTTTGAACTGTGCTGTATAGCTGTGTTTTGCTGTGCGTTTGTTGTCAAACTAAAACATTTTTTATTTTTAATTATTAAAAAATGCCATCATTTAAAAAAAAAGTTAATAATTGTATTTTATTGACAAAATATTTTAGTTTGTCTTGTATATTTTTGATTAGATAACATTTTAATCTTTCATATGGTCATGTTATAATGAACCCCACCTATGGGGCATGTTGTTACACTTCACTTCTTGTTTCAGGGTAAATCGAGAAAAAAATATAGACTGTATTAATGAAACAAAAGCACATAATTGTACTAGACATGTGTGAAATTAATGTGGGACAAAATGAATTCACTGAACCCCAATTGGATTTACACAAACTGAGAAGGTCAGAAAGTGTTAGTTTGTGCCCGCTCTCCTCTACTGTGAGTTTGATTCTGTAGTGAACAACATTCTCACAAATAATTCATAACAATCCCATGTATGATATATACACATTTCACTAAAGATGCATGACATTATTAAAGCATTCAAAAACAGTACATATTGTGGGATGATGATGTGCAGAATGAAATTTGACATAACCATTAAATAATAGTGAATTTGTGCATGTAAACAAAGGTTTGACGTCACACACACAAATAAAACACAACATGCGGGAGATGCAGTCAAAAAGAAAAAGATTGGTGAGGAGTTTCATTCAAATAACCTTTATTCCATTGAAACGTATATATTTAACAAAACTATGGTGATATAAATATACAGTTTTGAAAACATGAGCACATTCAGAGTGTGTGTGAGGACTGGTGTGTGTAGACGTGAGCCGGGTTTGAGCGCTGATGATGCGGGAGCAAAACACACTCTCTTACTTCCAGCTCCAGGATCCTGAACTCCAGCAACTCGTTCTGATCCAGCGTATCTCGAACCTCTGAGCGTAAACGCATTTCACACTGCTCCAGCGATGCTATCTACCACACACACACACACACGGAGAGAGAGAAACACACACCGGACCAGTGTTACTGCTTGTGTTTGAGTGTGTGTCAGAGTGTGTGTGTATTAGAGGAATCCACGGCTCTACCTTTTCTCTGAGCTCCTGGTTCATCCTGATGAGATTCTGCTTTTCCTCCGCCCACTTTGAGTCCTGCATCACACACACACACACACACACACACACACACACACACCGCTACACATTACACTACTAATACTTCTCTAACACTCCTATTCCTCACTACACACTAATCACACACACACACACACACTCATTCGCTCGTGTCAAAGCACAACAAATAATCAGTCTGAAACAATCAGCTCAACATAAACAGAGCAAACACACACACACACACACACACACACAGAGAGACAATGACAGTTAAAGATGGAGAAATGGCTGATTTATTAGGCCACATGCAGGAAAGTGCATTTCCATATTTTCCAGGAAAAGGAGCATCTAGCAACCAATGAAAGACGAGCAGAGAAACGCATGCGAGAGCAGCTGACCAATGGCAAACATGCACTGGGAATCAACCAATCAACAAACCACAGCGGATCTCAACCTTCTGACTTCAAGCCCCAGAACTGTCCACAACAATACCGGCTCATCCACAGATTCTGTCCAATAACACATTGGCATATCTAGAAGCACATCTTGATTTTTAGTGGTTTTATGTTATTTATATGTCTCTGATTGGCCGTCATCTGAAGTCAGCCCTGGTTGAGATCCACAGTAATGATGTTTTCTGCACACTGTGATGATGCAGAATCCCACAATGCACTGCATTTGCATCATCAGTTCGATGGATGAACTAGAAATAGAATAAACTTTTTTTTACAATGGATTAAAATCCTACACTTTTATTTCCGGATGGATGAATGGACATCATTCAGCGAATTAAACGTGGAATATGATGATGTCATGCAAAAGCAATGTTGCACGCTTGAATCATCATACATACTATATTGAAAAGGTCATGAAACGCTAACTTTGCTCATCATAGAATACAATGTTAGCATCCGTTAGTTTTAAATGTAGCTTAAACCTTTTTTGCTCTATTTTCGTCTTCCGGGGTTTAAAATCTTCATGTTGTCAATCTCTCAGGACATGATGTTTCTCACAGCTGTAGTCCACCGATGACTGAGAATTAGGCACTGCACATGATGTAATCAAGCTCTCAGAATACTTAAATATGTGTGTGTGTGTGTGTGTGTATATACACGCATATTTAGCATGAAACTGAACCTTCTGGTTGGCTTGGTAAATACATCTGTATGAAAGAAAGTGAATGCATAAGCTACTCCTGGACCAAAGTGCCCTCTGTAGAGGGGTTATGAGCCTTCGGTAAGCTAGTGCTCCATTATATGTGCCCTCGTTCGCCCTCAGTTTGAGGTCAAAGGTCAGGATGTGCACAAGGGTTACGGCAGGCTGTGAAAACAGTGTACAGTATAAAGGAGAGACGCTAGGCCAAAGCAGCATCTTCACACTAACTGTTGATGGATCTGATTCAGATATACAGAATAAAACCAGTATAATTGTTGTTAACGCATACGAGTCTTGCATTGGACATGCAAAGTAAATGTAAATAAATTTGACCAAATTGCACTGGTCCTGTGGGTGAAGTCACATGACACCATATCGTCTCGTGTAGCGCCCGCACACAAGCATGGCAGTCCGAGAGACGAGCAGCGAGGCCCATGTGACCCTCGTTCTCCTTTACCTGCCCCTTCTCTGCCAGGCTCCGCTCCAGGTCATCGATCCGGGCCTGACAGCCAATCAGCTCCGCCTGCAGCTGCTCCCGTGTCTGACGGACAGAGCAACAGCCAATCAGAGAGCCAGCCTCGCCAGGTACACTCTACACGGGCTGCTTTTCAAGTTCAAATCTATTACAAAATTTGGTAAGGAATTTTCTGAGGCAGGAACGTCCGGCCATGCTTGCTTCAATGCTGGCATTTCAGTGAGGGAAGAGGAGGTTCTGAAAAGGTCTTGAAGTTCAATTAAACTGGATCTAAACATTGGAGTGATTGATGGAGATTTGAAGGGATAGTTCCCCAAAAAATGAAAATTAGCCCATGCTTTACTCTCCCTCAAGTCATCCTAGGTGTGTATGACACTCTTCTTTCAGACGAATACAGTCAGAGTTATATTAAACATGTCCACATCGGCTCGCTAATGTCCGGTCACTGGTCAATAAACTGGACGAACTCGCCTGTGCATTTCCTGCGATATGAGAATTATGGACTCTAATATCATGGATTTTACAGAAACCGGACAGCGCTATTGAGTTAGCTGAACGCTAGGCTCTCCGGGTGGACAGAACGGCAGAGACTCCGGTAAGACCAGAGGCGGAGGTTGTGCATTTATATAAATAAAGCTTGGTGTACGAACTCTGTTATCACTGGAAGACGCTGCTCACCTAACCTGGAATTTCTTATGGTTAAATGTAGACCCTTTTATATGCCCAGAGAATACCACCGGACGCTAATGCTAAGCTTGCAATGAAAGAACTACATGCAACCATTAGCAAACAGTTCACCCAGAGGCTGCTGTTATTGTTGCGGGTGACTCCAGTCACTCCAACTTAAAGACGGTCCTCCCCAGATTTGATCAGCATGTCTCCTGCTACACCAGAGATAGTCAAACTCTGGACCAGGTTTACACTAACATACCTGGAGCTTACAGAGATCCCCCTCCCCCATTCGGGAAAATCAGATCACATCTCCCAGTTCCTCCTTCCCACGTATTTATCACTTATTCAACGTGTGGAACCTACAGTGAAGACAGTCAAGCGTGGCCAGAGGGAGCAGACTCTGAACTGCAGGACCGCTTTCAACAGACTGACTGGAAAGGTTGTGTCTCCTACATAGACATCCACAGCTACGCTGCCTTCATACTGGATCATATAATCATTACAATAGACAGTGTCACTACACAGAAACAGATCACTCTCTACCCAAACCAGAAGCTCTGGATCAATAGAGAGGTTCGCTTCTTACTGAAGGCACGCAACCCTGGCTTTAGATGTGGTGATGCACAGGCCTCCAGTATAGCCAGAGCTCATCTGAGACGGGGCAGTAAGGCCAAGCACTGCCACAAGCTGAAGACTGAGGAACACGTCACCAACTCAAACTCCCACCGTATGTGGCAGGGCATTCTGGCCATTAGTGACTACAAACCTACGTACCCCTCTCCTCCATCCACCGATATCACCTTCCTTAATCGCTTTGAAAGGGATAACCAGGAACTGACAAACAAAATCAAGCTTTCTGCTGACCACCAGCCATTACACTGAAGTCGGCCAGCACTGAGCAGGATTACTGCAGATGGCAGTCCTGGAGGTGTTCTCTGGACATGCGCTGGAGAACCGGCGGGGGTTCTGACAGACTTATTCAACCCGTCTCCTGCACGAGCTACTGTGCCTGCCTGCTTCAAGACCACTTCTACTGTACCAATACCAAAAAACTCTTTTATGATGGATAGATGCACTTTATGATGGATAGATGCTCTTTTATGATGGACAGATGCACTTTTATGATGGACAGATGCACTTTATGATGGATAGATGCTCTTTTATGATGGACAGATGTACTATTATGATGGATAGATGCACTTATATGATGGACAGATGTACTATTATGATGGATAGATGCACTTTTATGATGGACAGATGCACTTTTATGATGGACAGATGTACTATTATGATGGATAGATGCACTTATATGATGGACAGATGCACTTTTATGATGGATAGATGCACTTTTATGATGGACAGATGCACTTTTATGATGGATAGATGCACTTTTATGATGGACAGATGCACTTTTATGATGGATAGATGCACTTTTATGATGGACAGATGCACTTTTATGATGGATAGATGCACTTATATGATGGACAGATGTACTATTATGATGGATAGATGCACTTTTATGATGGATAGATGCACTTTTATGATGGACAGATGCACTTTTATGATGGATAGATGCCCTTATATGATGGACAGATGTACTATTATGATGGATAGATGCACTTTTATGATGGATAGATGCACTTTTATGATGGACAGATGCACTTTTATGATGGACAGATGCACTTTTATGATGGACAGATGCACTTTTATGATGGACAGATGCACTTATATGATGGACAGATGTACTATTATGTTGGATAGATGCAGTTTTATGATGGATAGATGCACTTTTATGATGGACAGATGCACTTTTATGATGGATAGATGCACTTTTATGATGGACAGATGCACTTTTATGATGGACAGATGCACTTTTATGATGGACAGATGCACTTTTATGATGGATAGATGCACTTTTATGATGGATAGATGCACTTTTATGATGGACAGATGCACTTTTATGATGATAGATGCACTTTTATGATGGATCGATGTACTATTATGATGGACAGATGCACTTTTATGATGGACAGATGCACTTTTATGATGGATAGATGCACTTATATGATGGACAGATGCACTTTTATGATGGATAGATGCACTTATATGATGGACAGATGTACTATTATGATGGATAGATGCACTTTTATGATGGACAGATGCACTTTTATGATGGATAGATGCACTTTTATGATGGACAGATGCACTTTTATGATGGACAGATGCACTTTTATGATGGATAGATGCATTTTATGATGGATAGATGCACTTTTATGATGGACAGATGCACTTTTATGATGGACAGATGCACTTTTATGATGGACAGATGCACTTTTATGATGGATAGATGCACTTTTATGATGGACAGATGCACTTTTATGATGGATAGATGCACTTTTATGATGGACAGATGCACTTTTATGATGGATAGATGCACTTTTATGATGGATAGATGCACTTTTATGATGGATAGATGCACTTTTATGATGGACAGATGCACTTTTATGATGGATAGATGCACTTTTATGATAAACAGATGCACTTTTATGATGGACAGATGCACTTTTATGATGGATGGATGGATAGATGCACCTTTATGATGGATGGATAGATGCACTTTTATGGACTTCAAAACAGAAACGGCCATTATAAAGCTTGGAAGAGCCAGGACATTTTAATATAACTCAGATTGTGTTCGTCTGAAAGAAGAATGTCATATACACCTAGGATGACTTGAGGGAGAGTAAATCATGGGCTAATTAAAATTTTTGGATGAACTCTCCCTTTAAAATGAAATGTGTAAGAGAACCGGTGTGTGTACGGTTATCATGCGTGTGTGTGTGTGTCTGGGGTCGCGCTCACCCTGCAGTGCCTCTCGGGGTCCAGCGGGCCGGCCGTCTCCTGCAGAAGTGCGTACGCTCGCTGTAGCGCCTGGTACTCGCGGGTCAGCTGACGGAACCGTAGCTCCGCCTCCTCCCGGCAGAAGACCTGCCCGACAACACAAGCTGTCAATCACAGCTGTCAACACATCACATCATTTACCCATCCACTCTTATCAATCAGGATTAAACTAGTTTAGTAGTTCCTAGTAGTTTAGCAGCATCTCTAAAGTTGGTTTGGTGTTTCTGAAAGTCGGAGTGTGTGATCAGAGTGATTGGGTGTAAGAAGTGTCTCACACACACAAGTGTGTTCCCGAACACCAGCATTCGAACGCCAGAGAACACGACAGGGTTTACTGTGTTTCGTCTGACGCTCGACACACACTCGTTTATGATGGAGGGAAAACAGCCGATTGCAGTGTTTTATGCCATATTCCAATTCTGCACATGGTAAATTTACTTTAAACACAAAATGTCATTTTTATACAAGTCAAGTAAAATCGATTTGTACAAAGCAGCTTTTCAGAAAATCATGATATTCATCAAAGAATCCTGAAAAATAAAATATATGATAGTTTCCACAAAAATATGAAACTGTTTTCAACACTGCTAATAATCCTAAATGTTTCTTGAGCATCAGATCCTCATATTAGAGTGATTTCTGAAGGATCATGTGACACTGAAGACTGGAGTAATGATGCTGAACATTCAGCTTTGATCACAGGAATAAATTACACTTTACTGTATATTCACATAGAAAACTGATTAATATTTCACTGTTTCACTGTATTTGTGATCAGATAATCGCAGCTCTGCTGAGCAGAAGAGACTCAGACTCAGAGATGCTTGAGTGTGTTGTGCAGGTATAGTGAAGTAAAGCATGACATACGTCCTCGAGGTCCTCTTCGGGTGTAGCAGGCGTGTGGTCGGTGTTATATGATGTCAGAGACGACGTCTCAGAGTCGACAGATTCTTCATCAAATCCAAAATATGTCTCCACAACATGCCTCTGAAAGACAGGATCAGGTCTTAAACATCATAAACCACTCTCTAACTTTCACACAGTGTCCGCCTGTGAAGCGAACGAGACGTGGGATAGCGATCTCCTCTCGTCTGCGTCCCTCAGGATCGCTCCTGCTTCCAGACCTGGCATTACTGCGTTACTGCAAATCTTTCTTTCTACAGATTGAAGGAATCAAGGTTGTTCATACCCACAGACGCTGAAAACACGGCGCGACTCGTTTCTGAACACACAAGAACGTTTTTTCAAGGATTTCCCAGGTCTCTTACCATCGTGCTTGTAGGTCATCTCCTGACAGCCGGAGAAATACAGACACACCAGCGCACACAGACACAGGAACATGCAGAGATACAGCACCAGCAGAAAGTACTCGCTCATGCTGAACGCGTCTACAAACACCCCTCGAAACACACTCGGCCCGGCATCCTCTTCCTCGAGCAGAGCCACAGATGTGTGTGTGTGCTACGCCAGTGTCGGATGAGTTTATAGTCACGTCTGCTGACTCCTCCTCCTTAGCAACACTTCTGGAGAACCCACAACTAAACCTGGTCACCATCACAACATCAGGACCACACGCAAACTTCCCTCTTCTCCTCTATGCAGGACATCCTCCAATGTTCCCAGAGAGAGTCATTTTCAGGGGACCATTTTAAACCCAAATTATAGTTCGTACATCCAAACACACACAAACTCAGGGGGCAGTGACATCTGCGTATATAGACTTCTTAATGTGGTTTGGTTGAGTTGTTTTTGACTGTTGTGACCCTTTAGACAAGAAGAGAAATCTGGAGAATGCGTGAGAAAGAAAAGAGAAAGCGAAGGTCTCGAGAGGCCAATTACTGTGCGATGCTCATCAGAGGAGACCGTTGCTTAGAGACGGCCCATGCAGAGAAGAGAAGCAAGCGGAGCGAGACTTCCACATGTGGATGAGGAGCTCACCTTGGGCAACTTGATGTTTTTCCTCCGGTTCTTCTTGTTGATTATCAGCCTGTCCCGTTCCTGAAAGCACATCCAGACATCACGTAACACACACACACACACACACACCTCAGAGTCGTCGCTCAGAGCGAGATTCATTTCACATTGGATCAGAATGAGTGTCACATTTCAAAAGTTTGGGGTCGGTAAGATTTAGTGTGTTTGAAAGAAGTCTCTCTGGTCAGTGAAATGTGACCCAGTTCCGATGTTTTGCTCATATGCGACACAGATCGGATGTGTTCTATGACGGTGTAAACAGGAAAAAAACGCATGCATTCGGGTATTTTGAGATTCATATGTGGAAATAAATCAGATATAAATCAGACATGTGCCAATGCGACTGTCATGTAAACAGGCAGATCGGGTTTCCTGAGGCATTAGGCTAGTCTCCGCGGTTTAGCGACGAGAGAAACCCCGACGCGCATCTGCGAAGGGACGGATGGCCCGACGAAACCTGTCGTCGTAGGAGAGGAATGTGGACACACGGTGACACTATAGTTTATAGCGTGCATTTGATACGCCGTTTTTGCGTGCATATGATATGCACTTTATGGCTTGTAATACGCACGCACTCCACACCCCTAATCCTACCCAAGGGGTTTACAGTGCGCATCATGCACGCAAAAACTATTTTGGGAGTATAAATGGCACGAGAAATAAATTATTGGTTGCCTATAGATACGCACTTTCATGAGATCGTGTTGTATGTTCCCACCAGTCCTGAGACCTCGCACACAATAACTGAAGCATATGCGCAGGCTGCAATGATGGCCTTTTCGTCCGCCTCCGCCTCAAAATCATGGTGATGTTTGGCGAACTTCGCATATATCACAAAGCTGGCATCAAGCATATTTCGCGTTCTTCCATCTGTGCAAGAACCCCCTTTAAGCATGCGCGATGTTTCAGAGAGTAGGCCTATGTCAAGTGTAAACACATGAATCGGATATGGGTCACAATTGAAAGAACGTATAAACGAACGGTCAAAAAAATCGGAAAAATCCGAATTGGGCATCAAGACCTGCAGTGTAAACGAGGCCTTAGGGTACGTTTACACAACAACGATGTCCTAAACCTGGAAAAGTTTCCCGCGTTCACACGGATCTGCGACGGTAACCGCTGTATTCTGCTGCCAGGCCAGATGATGGCGCTGTCACACAAAGAAACACTATACGCACGTTGAGGCACTATGGGGCACGTTTAGTCATGTGATGTACGGACAGATATCTCTGTTTATACCGGCATGTGCGGTTCGCTTTCAGTGTTGCTACAGTGTTACTCTGGACAATCTTCAGATGTACATGCGGGCGAGTGTGTATTAGGCGAGACAGCGAGTGTGTATTAGGCCAGACAGTGAGTGTGTATTAGGCCAGACAGTGAGTGTGTATTAGGCCAGACAGTGAGTGTGTATTAGGCGAGACAGCGAGTGTGTATTAGGCCAGACAGCGAGTGTGTATTAGGCCAGACAGCGAGTGTGTATTAGGCCAGACAGCGAGTGTGTATTAGGCCAGACAGCGAGTGTGTATTAGGCCAGACAGCGAGTGTGTATTAGGCCAGACAGCGAGTGTGTATTAGGCCAGACAGCGAGTGTGTATTATGCCAGACAGCGAGTGTGTATTAGGCCAGACAGCGAGTGTGTATTAGGCCAGACAGCGAGTGTGTATTAGGCCAGACAGCGAGTCTGTATTAGGCCAGACAGTGAGTGTGTATTAGGCGAGACAGCGAGTGTGTATTAGGCCAGACAGCGAGTGTGTATTAGGCCAGACAGTGAGTGTGTATTAGGCCAGACAGTGAGTGTGTATTAGGCCAGACAGCGAGTGTGTATTAGGCCAGACAGCGAGTGTGTATTAGGCGAGACAGCGAGTGTGTATTAGGCCAGACAGCGAGTGTGTATTAGGCCAGACAGTGAGTGTGTATTAGGCCAGACAGTGAGTGTGTATTAGGCCAGACAGTGAGTGTGTATTAGGCCAGACAGCGAGTGTGTATTAGGCGAGACAGGGAGTGTGTATTAGGCCAGACAGCGAGTGTGTATTAGGCCAGACAGCGAGTGTGTATTAGGCCAGACAGTGAGTGTGTATTAGGCCAGACAGCGAGTGTGTATTAGGCCAGACAGCGAGTGTGTATTAGGCCAGACAGCGAGTGTGTATTAGGCCAGACAGCGAGTGTGTATTAGGCCAGACAGCGAGTGTGTATTAGGCCAGACAGCGAGTGTGTATTAGGCCAGACAGCGAGTGTGTATTAGGCCAGACAGTGAGTGTGTATTAGGCCAGACAGTGAGTGTGTATTAGGCCAGACAGCGAGTGTGTATTAGGCCAGACAGTGAGTGTGTATTAGGCCAGACAGTGAGTGTGTATTAGGCCAGACAGCGAGTGTGTATTAGGCCAGACAGTGAGTGTGTATTAGGCCAGACAGCGAGTGTGTATTAGGCCAGACAGCGAGTGTGTATTAGGCCAGACAGCGAGTGTGTATTAGGCCAGACAGCGAGTGTGTATTAGGCCAGACAGCGAGTGTGTATTAGGCCAGACAGCGAGTGTGTATTAGGCCAGAGAGGCGAGTGTGTATTAGGCCAGACAGCGAGTGTGTATTAGGCAGCGAGTGTGTATTAGGCCAGACAGTGAGTGTGTATTAGGCCAGACATCGAGTGTGTATTAGGCCAGACAGTGATTGTGTATTAGGCCAGACAGCGAGGGGGTATTAGGCCAGACATCGAGTGTGTATTAGGCCAGACAGTGATTGTGTATTAGGCCAGACATCGAGTGTGTATTAGGCCAGACAGCGAGTGTGTATTAGGCCAGACAGTGAGTGTGTATTAGGCCAGACAGTGAGTGTGTATTAGGCCAGACAGTGAGTGTGTATTAGGCCAGACAGTGAGTGTGTATTAGGCCAGACAGTGAGTGTGTATTAGGCCAGACATCGAGTGTGTATTAGGCCAGACAGCGAGTGTGTATTAGGCCAGACAGTGAGTGTGTATTAGGCCAGACAGCGAGTGTGTATTAGGCCAGACAGTGAGTGTGTATTAGGCCAGACAGTGAGTGTGTATTAGGCCAGACAGTGAGTGTGTATTAGGCCAGACAGTGAGTGTGTATTAGGCCAGACAGTGAGTGTGTATTAGGCCAGACAGTGAGTGTGTATTAGGCCAGACAGTGAGTGTGTATTAGGCCAGACAGTGAGTGTGTATTAGGCCAGACAGCGAGTGTGTATTAGGTCAGACAGCGAGTGTGTATTAGGCCAGACAGCGAGTGTGTATTAGGCCAGACAGTGAGTGGGGATTGGCCTGAAGATCATGCCAGTGAGAACTTTATTACGTCTGCACTCTCAGGATTCCCAGCGAGCTTTTATTACGCTTTACACACGTGCCGTAAGGTGATTTAAGCGTCTTCCGATGTTTCAGTGTGGACGAGAAACATATGGAAAACGTTTGGAAACGCTAGTGTGGAATGAAACTTATTAGTATAAATGTAGTTTTATGCTCACCAAGACTGCATTTATTTAAAAGTCGTACTGTCACGTTCTGACCCCAAACTCTTGAAGACAGCGCTCTGTTGCTGGGAATACTGTAACATCAGCATGTGTGTAAACAGAAGTCATGAGGGAGGGGAAGAGAAAATGAGGCTGTAATTCATTTCTAATTAGGCTTTGTCTTAATGAAGAAAACAAACTAATTAACAGACACAGCGCTGATTACCAAACACAAGTAATTACAGGGCAAGGCCAATTAGAGAATGAGCACAAACACAGACACGCATTATAAAGCTGAAAACCAGCAAGCACACAGAATCTGCGGGTGGAAATATCTTAAGGCTGGAACACAATACACGACTCTTGAAAATCTGGACAGATTTAAAACACAAAGCATCATACACTCGCAGAGTTTGTAACTAGCTCCAGAGGGAAACCTGGGCATCAAACACTAAACCACTGAGGATCACAGCACACACTACCAGACTTTCAGACAGAACAAACTCTCGCAGAAACACATGCTTTGTTGCTCAAAGTCGTGTGGCGAATGAAAACAAGATGTGTTCTAAAATCAGCTCAAAATATCCCACATGTCTGATGTCCTCGACTGGATTGAAGCTTGAAAAAATGCAATCTGTGACCATCATACACTACTCAAATCTGCAGTAACTAGCGTCAACTTGTCCTGACTGTACACCGGCCAAATGTCGTGCAGTGTATTCCAGCCTTTATTGAGTGCTGTGCTTATTATTGAAATGGTCATTTGCTTAATCATTTCTACAATAGGGCATGTCTTTGTTAACCAATAGCATCAAAGCCTCACTTTCCATTAGCAAATTAAATCATGATGGATAAAAGCTAAATTACTCCCCAGGTTCACTGAATGCACACACAAATGCATTGATATGGAAGGTAAATATGTTGTGGATCAGGTTCATGTTCACTACTCAAGCATGCCTGACACGGGGTCACTCGCACAAGCCTTCCTCTCGGTGCAGATCTCAACATGCGTGCGCTGAAACGAACCTGCGTGAGCTCGTCTATAACGCCGCGCTGCTCGCTGATCTGCAGGCGCAGATACTCCAGCTCCTGTTGCTCGTGGGTTTGACTGAGGTCCGTCAGAGAGGTGTGTCTCTTCAGGACGCCCGGCTGCGAGTTCTGATGGGATCTCTCCTTCTGAGGGAACACAGGGAGAGGGATTTAGTTCTAGAACAGTACGGGCTAAACGGAAATGATTCTAAATGTTTTCCCGTTATTTCGGTGCTGCCTTTCTCAACTCACCTGCTCTGCGTTCTCTCTGCTGAGCGTCTTCAGCTTGTCCTCCATGCGCTGTAGAGTCTGCTGCAGCTCTTCATTCTTCTTATTCAAGCGCTTATTCTTCTCCATGAGCGGCTTCATCTCTCCGTCGGTTTCCCGCACTCGTTTCAGCTGTACGGCAGAGAGAGAGACGGATCTACAGACAGGCCTGACAGAACACAAGACTTATTGTGAAAGATTTCTCTAACAGATATTGAAAACAATAAAAAAAAATCTTTTGAGAACAAATACAAATTGTAAATAAAATTAAGATTATTGGAGTATGTTTTACAAGAAAATACTATTTCAGTCATTTTCCTTCAAAATGTCACGTTTAATTCAATGTGTTACTTGTCATTACATAATTGTAATTATTTGTGAAATTTACTAGCAATTTCTGAGGGAAAATTGTTCCAAAGTAAATCCTACGCCATTTCTTTTTCAGTGTAGTGAGTGACAGGTCAGCAGGGGAAAAAGTGTAAAATAATTTCTTTTTATCAGCAGATCAGCAGATTGAAAATGCTTCCCATATCTTTTCTTGTTGAACTCCAAGGGCAAGATTTACTAACAACTTGCTCCAGCGTAAACCCTCTCTTGTGGTTAAAAACTACTGTCAGGATTTACTAAAGACACACAGTGAAAAATCAGTGCTGAAAAGGCGTGGACAGGGTTATTTCTGCAGCTGACCTTATTGCATATGGATTTGTAGGAGTTTCCCTTTCAGACGCTAAATTTATGCGAGGAGGATTAATCATGTATTGTTTGTTTGATGCTAATTCTATAATAAAAAGAAAGACTGATTAAACTAAATAACAGTCTGCGCATGGAAAGATAACATGGCTGTAAAAGTTTATGTTCAGTTACTTTGCTTCCCCTGTCACGCAACAGATCGAGACAAAACAGGTAAGTAGCCAATAGATATATTTTATTTGCAGGTATCGAAGAAGCAGCAGGAGAGATGAATGCGTGAGTACAGGACCATGGAAGCAGCTTGCAGGAGGTTTAGACGAACAGGTAGGGACTCTGTGAACGTTGGTTGGTAATGACGAGACCAGACAACTGAAGTCCGGATGGAGACAGCTATTTAAAAGCAGTGCTGGTGATTAGATGCAGGTGCAGAGAATCCGTATTCCGGTGATTGTGAACGACAGGGTGGAGCTGAGTGATACGGTGTGTGTTGAGTGGCTGGTGATGTGGCAGATCCTGACTGGGACGACCTCGACCTCTGGGAGCAGGGCGGTTGGGATGTTCCTTGTGGAATTGAGTTAGCAGAGATGGGTCCAGGATATTGTCACGGGCGACCCAGGAGCTTTCCTCTGGACTGTATCCCTCCCAGTCGACGAGGTACTCTAGTCGGGTGCCCCGGCTTCGGTTGTGAAGGATGGCATGAACTCTGTAAATGCGGAGGAGGAACAGCCACATTACTAGTTCCTGGAGCAGAAGACAACACAGGTTCAGAGGTGGTATCTGGGAGTGGCAGAACTTTGTGCATCAGCTTGGTTCTTGTGTCTTCGCACTGCCTGTTGAAGATGTACTTGTGCCGAGTCCCATAGCCTCTCGCTTTTTTTCGAACCAAGGGTTGACAGCTGGAACCTCTGATGGTTCGCCAGACCAGGAGAACAGTGGTGGCTGGTAATCGAGCATCCATTGGAAAGGTGTTAATCTAAAGGTATTTGGGCATACTTGGCCCAGGGGAGTAAATGACTACAGCTGTCCTGGTGTTGGTGGCAGTAGGACCGCAGGTATCTCCCGATCTCTAGGATCTTAAGCTCAGTCTGGCCATTTGTTTGTGGGTGGTATCCTAACGAAAGGCTCATGGAGACCCCCAATAACCTGAAGAAGGCTTGCCAGACTTGGGAAATTAATTGGGGGCTTCTATCTGATACCATGTCCTCCGGGAGTTGGAAAAGCAGTTCAGCGGCCTCCAGTGCTGTGGGCAGGCCCTTCAGGGGTATCAGTTTGCAAGCTTTAGAGAACCAGTCAACTACTACGAATAAACAGTTAGAGTTAGAAGTAGAAGTTAGATAGGGGTAAATCCGTCATAAACTCGATTTCCACATGGGACCAGGGTCTCTGAGGTATAAGCAGTGGGACCAGCTTTCCCTCCGAGAGACTTCGTGGTGTGTTGGTTATGGCACAGACTGAGAAGCCCATCACGTATCGGGAGATATCTTGGGTCATGGTGGGTCACCAGTAATGATTCTGGAGAAGCGAGAGGGTTTTCTGGTTGCATGGGTGTCCAGAGCCCGGAGAGGTGTGTGCTGAGTCCATGAGAAATGGATGAAGGGAAGAAGGAACATATATTCGTTCCTCAGGACCTCCCGGCAGAGCGGTTTCAGAATGAGTGGCTTCGTCAAGGGCCCATATGATGGGACGTACGATCAAGGCTGGAGGGAGGATGGATTCTGGAGGAGATGGATCAGGTTCAGGATAGTGTAACCGGGAAAGAGCATCAGCTCTACAGTTGACCTGGAGGATAAGTGACAATGCAATTTAATCTGGTGAAGAAAAGGACTCACCGGGCTTGTCGAGGGTTAAGTCTCTTGTCATCGCAAAGGTATTCAAGGTTTCGATGATCCATGATAACTTCAAACTAATGATTGGCTCCCTCCAGCAAGTGTCTCCACTCTACGAGAGCTAACTTGATCGCCAAAAGATCTCGGTTATCAATATCATAGTTACGCTTTGCCAGGGACAGCTTTTTGGAAAGGAAGGCACATGGATGGAGTCGTGGAGGGTCACCCTGCTGCTGGGAGAGTACAACTCCTACCCCAGGAGTGGAAGCCTCTACTTCAACGATGAATGGAAGATCATGGTCGGGATGGAACATGATAGGAGCTGTGAGGAAGGCTTCTTTGAGGAGATTGAAGGCTTGCGTGGCTGGCGGGTTCCAGGACAGAGACTTGGGCCAATCTTTGAGTAGAGATGCGAGTAGAAAGGTGATGAGGCTGTAATTGTTGATGAAACGCCAGTAAAAGTTAGCAAATCCAAGGAGGTATTGTAACTGTTTAAATGAAGACGTTAAAGGCCAGTCAAGGATGGTCTCCACCTCCTTCTGGTCCATCTGGATACCATTATGGTCAATGACATACCCCAGTAAGTGGATGGAAGATTTGTGGATCTCGCACTTTTCAAGCTTGAGATTAAGGTGGTGCTCTCTCAGCTTTTGTAGGACCTGCGTGACGTGTTGGCGATGTAGACGAGTAGATGAGAATATCGTTGATGTAGACGACGACGAACTGGTGTAGGAACTCCTCATTCATGTATCCCTCAAAAACTGAGGGTGAATTGGACAGTCCATACGGCATCACCAGATATTTGTAGTGGACTGAGAGTGTTACAAAGGCAATCATCCATTCATCATCCTCACATATTCGAATGAGGTTGAATGCACTCCGCAGGTCCAATTTGGAAAAGATGTGAGCCCCACGTAGCTGTTCTAAGGCGGCAGGTACCAGAGGAAGGGGATAGCGATACTTCACTGTTTGGTCGTTGGGGATACGGTAGTCGATGCACGGCCGCAAGCCTCCGTCCTTCTTGCTGACAAAGAAAAAGCTGGAAGCACCTTTTTCCTCCTAACCCAAGAAATGCAGAAGGTTTTGTGTGATGGACAGGTTTAGGGGTCGGGTTAGTGTGTGTGTGTGTGTGTGTGTGTGTGTGTGTGATGGGTCGGTTAGTGTAAGGGCAGAGAATATACAGTTTGTACAGTATAAAAACCATTACTTCTATGGAGAATCCTCACAAAGATATATTTAGGAATAGAATTTAGAATTTAAAAAAATAGAATTTTTAAAAATATAGAATTGAAAGACATAGAATTTAAAAAAAGTTATTGCAACTTTTTATCTCACAATTGCCTTTTTTTTGCTCACAATTGATTCTGTAAAAGTTATTAATTCTGAAAAAAAATCTGAATTGTGGGATAAAAGGTCGAAATTACCTTTTAGATTTTTTATTCCGTGTTGGAAACAAGCTTCAGGAATTAGATCCTATTAGATAAACTGTTAAACATTGGCACGAGGTTTTAGCTCAAGCTTGTTGTGTGTGTCTGAGAGTGTGTGTGTGTGTGTGTGTGTGTGTGTGTGTACCAGTTCGTTCCTCTCATCGGACAGCAGTGTGTTCCTGTCCTCTAGTTTCCTGATGACGGCCTGCAGCTCAGCGATCTTCAGCTGGAACCGGCGCACGTCTCTCTCTTCCACTTCCTATGAACGGAGAAACATGCTTTATTGTGTGATGGTGTGTAGGAAAAGGTCTCTGACACGTTACTCGTGTTCCTGATCCCAGAACACACCTGGTTAACGGCGGAGTCCGTGTGTTCCCCGAGGGAGGGCACCAGCTCTCTCTTCGGACTGCCATGATGCCGCTCCGCCTCCACTCTCTGCAGCAGCAGCCGCTGCGTCTGCCCCGCCTGCACACCCAGCTCCCTCTCCAGCGACTGCACCACGCGGTCCCTGCTCTTCAGCTCCTCCACCTCACACACACACACACACTTCACTACATGCTTTCTGGGCCATTTCACTAACTCCCCTTCCTGCGAGTCTAGCTGCTGGAACAATAGCTAAACTACTGGGCTGGTGTTAGAATCTGCTTCAGGTGGAGTCCAACAGAGCATTGAGCTCATTACTACTAATGCACTGATGTAGAAACGTTGGCCATACACTATTGTTCAAAAGTTTGGTGTCTGTAAGATTTAAATAAATAAATAAATTACTACTTCTATTCAGCAAGGACACATTAAATTGTGACAGTAAAGACTGTCACTTTTGATTTCAAATAAATGCTGTTCTTTTCAACTTTCTGTTCATCAAAGAATCCTGGAAAATAAAATGTATCACAGTTTCCACAAAAATATGAACTGTTATAAACACTGATAATAATCATAAATGCTTCTTGATCATCAGATCCTCATATTAGAGTGATTTCTGAAGGATCATGTGACACTGAAGACTGGAGTAATGATGCTGAAAACTCAGCTTTGATCACAGGAATAAATTACACTTTACTGTATATTCACATAGAAAACAGATATTTAAACTAGGATAATATTTCACAGTTTTACTGTATTTTTTGATCAAATACAGCCTTTCTGAGTAGAAGAGTCTTTCAGATTTGTTTTGATTTTTTTTAATCACAGTATCTGTTAAATTAATACTGTATATTCAAAGATAAGCTTTTGGTTTGGCCAATACATTGTGCATACCAATAACACATTTATAATACAACTTCATTAACGGCAACCGGATCTACATCTCTCTTTATTATCCTCTGATGTTTGTCCAAGGCCTTTTTTATAAGGTTGCTAACATCAATATGTTGCAAAAAACTAAAACCGTGTCTATTTGCTGTGTGTTACTGTTCATGAGAAGCACATCATGACAGCAATAAAACATGAGATATGAGGAAAGCCCACACAGGGCTTGGAGTTCAGCTTAGCTGATGTTTAAAAGGTGACGCCATTTATGGTGTTTATGAATATGTTCTTCTATTCAAGCTTAGGGTTAGATAAGTTGTAACGTGTGGTTAGAGGCTGGGCGAGACCGTCTGTTTGTCTGGTCAAATGGCAGAAGGGAAACCTGTCTGGAAACAGCCATATTCACTCTTCTCTCCTGAAGCTTTAACCCTCCCACCGCATTCAGGCTTTTGACCCGGAAACGGCACATTCAATCTAATAAAAATCCATTGTTTTTAGTGTGGGAATCTAAAACTTTGCATATGGATTACAATTATCAAAACACACATCATTTATTTTGTTTCATTTATTATTATAATATCATCATTTATAACCATTTAAACTAAATTGTCACACCTTTCACTTTCAGCTCAGTTGTAAGTGTGGCATTACACATGAAATTATGCTAATTTATGTATTCATTTATTTTTTACATGAGTTAGATTTGTATCAAATATACGTTGTAAACTACTATATTTGGCCTCTTTCCTGAATCTCTCACACACTTTCAGGACTGGATTTTGTTGGTAAATTTGAATAAGACACTATAAACAGAAAGAAAATGTAATAGACATAACACATAAACTACATCTAATTACCAACAGGCCAAGCTTGTGTAGAGCTAGAGGTCAAAGAGCAGTGGTGTAAGTGTGAAGGGAAGCGGTTAAAGAGAGGTCTGCTGCCCCCTGCTGGAGGAGCACTGCACACTGACTCTGCTGATCTACCTTTACATGCAGAACAGTAAAACACTGACATTTTTGCACTCATTGATGAGAAGTTACTGCTCTGATTGGTCAGATGACCCAGTCTGTTGTGATTGGTCTACTCTGCTCTGATTGGTCAGATGGCTCAGTCTGTTGTGATTGGTCTACTCTGCTCTGATTGGTCAGATGACCCAGTCTGTTGTGATTGGTCTACTCTGCTCTGATTGGTCAGATGGCCCAGTCTGTTGTGATTGGTCTACTCTGCTCTGATTGGTCAGATGGCTCAGTCTGTTGTGATTGGTCTACTCTGCTCTGATTGGTCAGATGACCCAGTCTGTTGTGATTGGTCTACTCTTCTGTGATTGGTCTACTCTTCTCTGATTGGTCAGATGACCCAGTCTGTTGTGATTGGTCTACTCTTCTCTGATTGGTCAGATGGCTCAGTCTGTTGTGATTGGTCTACTCTGCTCTGATTGGTCAGATGGTCCAGTCTGTTGTGATTGGTCTACTCTGCTCTGATTGGTCAGATGGCCCAGTCTGTTGTGATTGGTCTACTCTGCTCTGATTGGTCAGACAGCTCAGTCTGTTGTGATTGGTCTACTCTGCTCTGATTGGTCAGATGGCTCAGTCTGTTGTGATTGGTCTACTCTGCTCTGATTGGTCAGATGGCCCAGTCTGTTGTGATTGGTCTACTCTGCTCTGATTGGTCAGATGGCTCAGTCTGTTGTGATTGGTCTACTCTGCTCTGATTGGTCAGATGGCTCAGTCTGTTGTGATTGGTCTACTCTTCTCTGATTGGTCAGATGGCCCAGTCTGTTGTGATTGGTCTACTCTTCTCTGATTGGTCAGATGACCCAGTCTGTTGTGATTGGTCTACTCTTCTCTGATTGGTCAGATGGCTCAGTCTGTTGTGATTGGTCTACTCTGCTCTGATTGGTCAGATGGTCCAGTCTGTTGTGATTGGTCTACTCTGCTCTGATTGGTCAGATGGCCCAGTCTGTTGTGATTGGTCTACTCTGCTCTGATTGGTCACACAGCTCAGTCTGTTGTGATTGGTCTACTCTGCTCTGATTGGTCAGACGGCTCAGTCTGTTGTGATTGGTCTACTCTGCTCTGATTGGTCAGATGGCCCAGTCTGTTGTGATTGGTCTACTCTGCTCTGATTGGTCAGATGGCCCAGTCTGTTGTGATTGGTCTACTCTGCTCTGATTGGTCAGATGGCTCAGTCTGTTGTGATTGGTCTACTCTTCTCTGATTGGTCAGATGGCCCAGTCTGTTGTGATTGGTCTACTCTTCTCTGATTGGTCAGATGGCCCAGTCTGTTGTGATTGGTCTACTCTGCTCTGATTGGTCAGATGGCTCAGTCTGTTGTGATTGGTCTACTCTGCTCTGATTGGTCAGATGGCCCAGTCTGTTGTGATTGGTCTACTCTGCTCTGATTGGTCAGATGGCCCAGTCTGTTGTGATTGGTCTACTCTGCTCTGATTGGTCAGATGGCCCAGTCTGTTGTGATTGGTCTACTCTGCTCTGATTGGTCAGATGGCCCAGTCTGTTGTGATTGGTCTACTCTGCTCTGATTGGTCAGATGGCCCAGTCTGTTGTGATTGGTCTACTCTGCTCTGATTGGTCAGATGGCTCAGTCTGTTGTGATTGGTCTACTCTTCTCTGATTGGTCAGATGACCCAGTCTGTTGTGATTGGTCTACTCTGCTCTGATTGGTCAGATGGCCCAGTCTGTTGTGATTGGTCTACTCTGCTCTGATTGGTCAGATGGCCCAGTCTGTTGTGATTGGTCTACTCTTCTCTGATTGGTCAGATGGCCCAGTCTGTTGTGATTGGTCTACTCTGCTCTGATTGGTCAGATGGCCCAGTCTGTTGTGATTGGTCTACTCTTCTCTGATTGGTCAGATGGCCCAGTCTGTTGTGATTGGTCTACTCTGCTCTGATTGGTCAGATGGCCCAGTCTGTTGTGATTGGTCTACTCTGCTCTGATTGGTCAGATGGCCCAGTCTGTTGTGATTGGTCTACTCTTCTCTGATTGGTCAGATGGCCCAGTCTGTTGTGATTGGTCTACTCTGCTCTGATTGGTCAGATGGCCCAGTCTGTTGTGATTGGTCTACTCTGCTCTGATTGGTCAGATGGCCCAGTCTGTTGTGATTGGTCTACTCTGCACTGATTGGTCAGATGGCCCAGTCTGTTGTGATTGGTCTACTCTGCTCTGATTGGTCAGATGGCTCAGTCTGTTGTGATTGGTCTACTCTGCTCTGATTGGTCAGATGACCCAGTCTGTTGTGATTGGTCTACTCTGCTCTGATTGGTCAGATGGCTCAGTCTGTTGTGATTGGTCTACTCTGCTCTGATTGGTCAGATGACCCAGTCTGTTGTGATTGGTCTACTCTTCTCTGATTGGTCAGATGACCCAGTCTGTTGTGATTGGTCTACTCTTCTCTGATTGGTCAGATGGCCCAGTCTGTTGTGATTGGTCTACTCTGCTCTGATTGGTCAGATGGCTCAGTCTGTTGTGATTGGTCTACTCTGCTCTGATTGGTCAGATGACCCAGTCTGTTGTGATTGGTCTACTCTGCTCTGATTGGTCAGATGGCTCAGTCTGTTGTGATTGGTCTACTCTTCTCTGATTGGTCAGATGGCCCAGTCTGTTGTGATTGGTCTACTCTGCTCTGATTGGTCAGATGGCTCAGTCTGTTGTGATTGGTCTACTCTGCTCTGATTGGTCAGATGACCCAGTCTGTTGTGATTGGTCTACTCTGCTCTGATTGGTCAGATGACCCAGTCTGTTGTGATTGGTCTACTCTGCTCTGATTGGTCAGATGGCCCAGTCTGTTGTGATTGGTCTACTCTGCTCTGATTGGTCAGATGGCCCAGTCTGTTGTGATTGGTCTACTCTGCTCTGATTGGTCACATTCACAAACAGCAATATTACACACTGCATTAAAGGCAATATCTGAGAAAGCATAATAGAGGCACTTAAAGTTATGTCTGTGTAAAGTTATTTATAATTTCACGTTCGACATTCCTGTCTGCCGTTTTCTAATAGAGTATGAGCGTTAACAGACTTCCTTCATGCATCTTACCAGTCTCCGTATCTCCCTCTCGCTCTCGCGTTTGATCCTCTGGATCTCCTCGTGATGGGCCTGATGGGCGACTCTGAGATCGGCTGCTCGGGCCCGGTCCGCCTGCAGGGCGTTAGCGAGCGCCTCCTCCGCCTGCCTGCGCGAGGTCTTAGCCTCCTGCAGCTCCTGCGCGAGTCTGAGCTTCTCCGCCTCGTAGCTCCTGCGCACCTCCTCGCGCGCCTCCTCCTTCAGGGCGCTGCGCAGCTCGCTGCTGGCCCCGTCCCGTAACACGCACACCAGCGCCTGCAGCCGGGCCAGCTCGGTGTCTCGGAGCCGGGCCCCCCGGGCCAGCTCCGCCTCGTGCTGTCGGGACAGGCTCTCGCGCGCCGACGCCACCTCGCGCTGCTTCTCCTCGTGGAGCTTCACACGCAGGTCGGTGAGCGCGACCGAGTGCTTGTGCTGCTCCGTCTCCCGCTGGGCCCGTAACTCCTGCAGGCGTTCCCGTAACTTGCACACCTACACACCAACCACAGCTCCACATCAGCATTTCACATCACGGTTCTCTGAAGTGAATCTCCATCACTTCTTCAAGTCTCTGATTTTTAAAAGCATTTTATCGAGTTTTATGGGGCCGATTTCCATTTGTATGTCAGATACCAAGCTTTGACTTAAACAATTATAGGTTTAAACATGCAAATGTCTCTTATTCATTTTAATCCATTTTTTCTCCTGCAGGCGTTCACATAACTTAGACACCTACACAACATCAGCATTTCATATTAAGGTTCTCATAGTCAAACCAAAAATTATTCAGAAACACAAGATATAATTTTTGATATTGTTTCATTAGTGTGATCAGGACACTATAGTTCATTTATGTAAGTGAGGAGAGCAAAATAAAGTAAACTGTGAGATATTATACCCATAAACTCTTCATACAGTGACATTAATAAACATTTGATTCCTCCACTTTGAGCTGATGATGTTTTGCTGAAGTGTGTTTTCTGTAATTGCTAATGCTCTTTTTACACACACACTGAACAACATGAAGCATTGCTTGGTCACTGGTTGAGCTAAACTGGTATTCTCTTATTGTGTAGTTAAATTGAACAGCTGATAGATATTCAACATAATTCATGTGTGAGAGTCTAACAGAAGGACGGACAAAACCAGTCAAATATCCACTGATCTGAGAACTCTGAGTTCTGCTCATGTTTATCACCATTTTCTAAAACTATAGCGGATAAACTGATGATGTGAGAAATGTTGAAGATGTCTGAATAAATGTTGGTTTCTGATGGCAGATGAATCTCCATCATTTCTTTAAGTCTGTGATAAGGATTTTAAATCGATATTTTAAATCGAGCATTTTATTGAGATTTATGGAGCAGATTTACATTTGTATGTCAGATACTAATCTTTGAATTAAACAATTATAATTAAACTTGAAAAGTCTCTCATTCATTTTAATCCGTTTTTTATTTTCAAGTTTATTTTCAAGTTTTTCTTTTCTTAATCCATTTTATGTTCTTAAATGATTTCTCTTTAAATTTAAATGAAACTCTCTTTAAACCATTGTGTGTGAAGTGTGTTTTGTAAATAAACTTGCCTTGTCTATAGTAGGGCATTATTAGAAAAAAACAAAGGTATATTCTCTATAAAAATGTCCATTAGTTCTCCCATACCCTCATCTTGTTCTAACTTTGTATTTCTTTATTTTGAACTGGTTAGTGAACTGCTAATCTGCTAAACATCTCATAGTTTCACATTGACAGTCTGTCTCAGAATATGTTTACACTAACTTACTAACAGACACCCAGTAAAGCCCACACACACACCACACATCTGATCAAACTGCGCACGTCAAGGCATATATAAAACTCGGGTCACATGACATAACCTTCAGTGTTTTCAGACAAGTTTTATAACCTCAAGTATAACTAAACTTTACTGGGCTAAAGACAACCTGAGATATGTATCTTACACGAGGTAAAGTGTGAGACGTGATGTTCAGGCTGCATGTTCTAGTCTTCCGTTGGCTTTAACACTGATGTTCTTTCCTTAGTCTTGCATTACATTGCAAGTATTTCAGTATTTGGCACATATTCTCCGGTCTTTGTTTCCAGCGTTCGCAAAATGTCTTCATATTCCATCAATATTTTATAAGCTTCAGGGTTTTATAATGGTTTCGAGAGAGGGGGGAAAGTAGTGAGCTGGAAGGAATGCAACGAACCAAACTGTGTGAAACCATAGTTTCTGAGATAGATTTGGCCAGTTCCAGAGACACGTTTGCATCATTCGATTATGTCAAATAAATCCCTCTAATTGTATAAACTGCCACATTTGTGTTGGCGTTGCGACAGCGTTCGGGGTGTGGTTTCCTCTGGCACATGCTGGATTTATGATTCATGAGCGGATCAATCTTCTCTGAACTGAAGCTTTCTTCAGACAGACAACTACCTGATTATTATTTGTAATATCTGAATCTGTTTAGTAGTTTGTTGCACAAAGAATGCATGCAAATCTGATTTAAACCACATTCATATATGCTTTACAATCTGAATCAAGTTTTAAAAGCTGTATTTTAGGAAACGTGTTTCAGTCTGACTGTCAAATATAAAGTCTTCACTATTTGAAATGCACTAGTGAACATGCCAGTAATAGCTCAGATGATGGAATCATAAACGAGCACATCAGAGGGCAAACGTGCACTCTTCTGAGCTTATACTGAGGTCATTACTATGGCAACTGACACTGGCTACGTTTACATGCACAACCTTTGTTTCACGCTGAACATGATCGGGTCGATGTGTGTGTTTATATGTCACACGCTTCAATCGGGATATATTGTTTGACATGCGCACACTGAACGAATATACAGAGTTTCTGCTGTCTGCGCATAATATCTATTCTCCTACACTGGTTCTTTATTTGTTTTAAACAGCAGACTTAATATTTATCCATTTCTGGTCATAATTACGCTATTTCTGGTCATAATTACGCTATATCTACGCCATTACACTATTTCTACATCATTGCACTATTTCTACATCATTGCACTATTTCTACATCATTATACTATTTCTACGTCATTACGCTATTTCTACGTCATTATGCTATTTCTTCGTCATTATGCTATTTCTACGTCATTTCGCTATATCTACGTCATTACGCTATTGCTACGTCATTACGCTATTTATAAATCATTACGCTATTTCTACGTCATTATGCTATTTCTTTGTCATTATGCTATATCTACGTCATTACACTATTTCTACATCATTATGCTATTTCTACATGATTACGCTATTTCTGCATCATAACGCTATTTCTACGTCATTCCGCTATTTCTGCATCATTACGCTATTTCTACGTCATTATGCTATTTCTACGTCATTTCGCTATATCTACGTCATTGCGCTATTTCTACATCATTATGCTATTTCTACGTGATTACGCTATTTCTGCATCATTACGCTATTTCTACATCATTACGCTATTTCTACATCATTATGTTATTTCTACGTCATTATGCTATTTCTTCGTCATTATGCTATTTCTACGTCATTACGCTATTTCTACGTCATTATGCTATTTCTGCGTGATTACGCTATTTCTGCATCATTACGCTATTTCTACGTCATTACGCTATTTCTGCATCATTACGCTATTTCTACGTCATTATGCTATTTCTACGTCATTTCGCTATATCTACGTCATTACGCTATTTCTGCATCATTACGCTATTTCTACGTCATTACGCTATTTCTGCATCATTACGCTATTTCTACGTCATTACGCTATTTCTACATCATTATGCTATTTCTACGTGATTACGCTATTTCTGCATCATTACGCTATTTCTACATCATTACGCTATTTCTACGTCATTGCGCTATTTCTACATCATTATGTTATTTCTACGTCATTATGCTATTTCTTCGTCATTATGCTATTTCTACGTCATTTCGCTATATCTACGTCATTACGCTATTGCTACGTCATTACGCTATTTATACATCATTACGCTATTTCTACGTCATTATGCTATTTCTTTGTCATTATGCTATATCTACGTCATTACACTATTTCTACATCATTATGCTATTTCTGCATCATTATGCTATTTCTACATGATTACGCTATTTCTGCATCATAACGCTATTTCTACGTCATTACGCTATTTCTGCATCATTACGCTATTTCTACGTCATTATGCTATTTCTACGTCATTTCGCTATATCTACGTCATTGCGCTATTTCTACATCATTATGCTATTTCTACGCGATTACGCTATTTCTGCATCATTACGCTATTTCTACATCATTACGCTATTTCTACATCATTATGTTATTTCTACGTCATTATGCTATTTCTTCGTCATTATGCTATTTCTACGTCATTACGCTATTTCTACGTCATTATGCTATTTCTGCGTGATTACGCTATTTCTGCATCATTACGCTATTTCTACGTCATTACGCTATTTCTGCATCATTACGCTATTTCTACGTCATTATGCTATTTCTACGTCATTTCGCTATATCTACGTCATTACACTATTTCTACATCATTATGCTATTTCTACGTGATTACGCTATTTCTGCATCATTACGCTATTTCTACATCATTACGCTATTTCTACGTCATTGCGTTATTTCTACATCATTATGTTATTTCTACGTCATTATGCTATTTCTTCGTCATTATGCTATTTCTACGTCATTATGCTATTTCTGCGTGATTACGCTATTTCTGCATCATTACGCTATTTCTACGTCATTATGCTATTTCTGCGTGATTACGCTATTTCTGCATCAATACGCTATTTCTACGTCATTATGCTATTTCTGCGTGATTACGCTATTTCTGCATCAATACGCTATTTCTACGTCATTATGCTATTTCTGCGTGATTACGCTATTTCTGCATCATTACGCTATTTCTACGTCATTACGCTATTTCTGCATCATTACGCTATTTCTACGTCATTATGCTATTTCTACGTCATTTCGCTATATCTACGTCATTATGCTATTTCTACGTCATTTCGCTATATCTACGTCATTACACTATTTCTACATCATTATGCTATTTCTACGTGATTACGCTATTTCTGCATCATTACGCTATTTCTACATCATTACGCTATTTCTACGTCATTGTGCTATTTCTACGTCATTACGCTATTTCTACGTCATTATGCTATTTCTACGTGATTACGCTATTTCTGCATCATTACGCTATTTCTACTTCATTATGCTATTTCTACGTGATTACGCTATTTCTGCATCATTACGCTATTTCTGGTCATAATTACGCTATTGCTACGTCATTACGCTATTGCTACGTCATTAAGCTATTGCTACATGTGTATTGCAATGTGTAAAAATTGAATCCGCTACTGCTCTATTGATATGTGCACTTGTATACAGGCCTCCCAAATCAGACAAACATTTCATAAAAGAATTCTCAGACTTCTTATCTCATTATGCAACATCTTATGACCGTTTGT